TTAAACAAAGAAAAAGAAAAAACAACACACACAAAAAAACAATACAAAATTTAACAATAAAAACACACAACATAACAATTTAAAACAAACTCTCTTTTACATTCCCAATTTTGAATTACTTATTTTCTGGACTTCCTCATACCTCCCTCTTTTGTATTCCAATCTACATTATTTGTCCAGCAATTTCTTTTCCACTTTTTTAAACCCAATCTTTAATTTAATAAAATATTAAACTATATAACATAAACATAATCCTTGTTCTTAATGTCATATACCTTTAAATTTTTCCCAATCTTAATCTTTAATCTTAATCTATCCTAGCTTTAACCTGTACAGCTGGAAACCACTTATTTTCAATCCAACATCACTCTAACATTCCTTAATTTTGCAGTGTTTCTGAAGATAGTCTTTGAATTTCTTCCAATCTTCCTCCATCGACTCTTCTCCCTGGTCACGGATTCTGCCAGTCATTTCCGCCAATTCCATATAGTCCATAAGTTTCATCTGCCATTCCTCCAGCGTGGGAAGTTCTTGTGTCTTCCAATACTTTGCGATGAGTATTCTTGCTGCTGTTGTTGCATACATAAAGAAAGTTCTATCCTTTTTTAACACCATTTGGCCCACTATGCCCAGGAGAAAGGCCTCTGGTTTCTTGGGAAAGGTATACTTAAATACCTTTTTTAATTCATTATATATCATTTCCCAGAAAACCTTAATCTTTGGGCACGTCCACCAAAGGTGAAAAAATGTACCTTCAGTTTCTTTACATTTCCAACATTTGTTATCGGGCAAGTGATAAATTTTCGCAAGCTTGACTGGGGTTATGTACCACCTGTATATCATTTTCATAATATTCTCTCTTAAGGCATTACATGCCGTAAATTTCATACCAGTGGTCCATAACTGTTCCCAGTCAGCAAACATAATGTTATGTCCTACGTCCTGTGCCCATTTAATCATAGCCGATTTTACCGTTTCATCTTGAGTATTCCATTTCAGCAGCAAGTTATACATTCTTGACAGATTCTTAGTATTGGGTTCTAACAATTCTGTTTCTAATTTCGATTTTTCCACCTGGAAGCCAATTTTCCTGTCTAATTTAAATGCCTCCATTATTTGATAATAATGAAGCCAGTCTCGCACTTTGTTTTTTAATTTTCAAAACTCTGCAATTTCAGTCTATCTCCGTCTTGTTCCAAAATTTCCCAATATTTCGGCCATTTGACCTCCATATTGACCCTTTTCAAGGCTTTCGCTTCCATTGGTGACAGCCACCTTGGGGTTTTATTTTCTAGCAAATCCTTATATCTTATCCAAACATTAAATAGCGCTTTCCTGACAATGTGGTTTTTAAATGCTTTGTGTGCTTTGACCTTATCATACCATAAATATGCATGCCATCCAAATACATTATTAAAACCTTCCAAATCCAAAATGTCAGTGTTTTCAAGAAGTAGCCATTCTTTCAACCAGCAAAAAGCTGCTGATTCATAATAAAGTTTAAGGTCTGGCAGGGCAAATCCACCTCTTTCTTTTGCATCTGTTAAAATTTTAAATTTTATTCTAGGTTTCTTGCCCTGCCAGACAAATTTAGAAATGTCTTTCTGCCACCTCTTGAAACAGTCCATTTTGTCCACGATCTGCAAAGTTTGAAACAAAAACAACATTCTAGGCAATACATTCATTTTTATCGCAGCAATACGGCCTAGCAGTGAAAGCTTCAGGTTTGACCAAATTTCTAAATCTTTTTCACTTCTGACCAACATTTTTCATAGTTATCTTTAAATAAATTCCCATTTTTGCTGTCATGTTAATCCCCAAGTATTTGACTTTCTTAACCACTGTTAACCCTGTCTCATTCTGAAACCTCTCTCTTTCAAAAGATGTTAAATTTTTCTCTAAAACCTTGGTTTTTGATTTGTTCAATTTAAATCCTGCCACTTGACCAAATTCTTGAATCAGTTCTAAAACCCTTTTTGTACTAGATTCTGGCTCCTGTAACGTCAGTACTAAGTCATCTGCAAATGCTCTCAATTTATAGTGTTTAGTTCCGACCTGTATGCCTTTCACCAACTGGTCCCTTCTAATCATGTTCAGCAACACCTCCAGGACCGAAATAAAGAGAAGAGGGAAATTGGGCAACCTTGTCGTGTCCCTTTTTCAATTTTAAGTTCTTCCGTCACAACATTATTTACAATTAATTTAGCCTTTTGTTCTGAATAAATTGCACTTATACCATTCTCAAAACCTTGGCCTACCCCCATACCCTGAAGATTCTTCTTCATAAAATTCCAAGAAATATTGTCAAAGGCTTTCTCCGCATCTACAAATATCAACACTGCTTTAGTGTTTATGTTCACTTCTAATTTTTCCAAGATATCAATTATATTCCTCAGATTATCAGACAAGTGTCTTCTTGGGAGAAAGCCCGCTTGGTCCTTATGAATCTCTTCCAACAGTACTTTTTAAATCTCTTCGCCAAAATATCTGCAAAAATTTTGTAATCCACATTAAGTAATGATATTGGGCGGTAGTTCTTTAATTGTGTCTTTTCAGCCTCTGTTTTTGGTACAAGTGTAATATATGCTTCTTTCCACGACTCTGGTGCCCTCCTCCCCTCCATTATTTCGTTGCAGACCTCTTTCAATGGTTGAATTAACCAGTCTTTTAAAGATCTGTAGTATCTAGAGGTCAAACCGTCTGGGCCTGGAGATTTACCCAGTTGCATATTTTGAATGGCACCTTCTATTTCCTGTTCCGTTATTCTATCATTCAAAATTAGTCTCTTTTCTTGAGATATTTTTGTAATCCATTTGTTTTCAAAAATTGATCTAAGTCTGTTTCTTTCACAGGCCCTTGAGTGTATAGTCTTTTAAAATACTTCTGGAAACAACTTCTAATTTCTGCAGGGTTCTGTATATTCCTTCCATCCACTTCTAAATTCGTAATCGTATTTAATTTTTGTCTCTTTTTCATTTGCCATGCCAACAGTTTACCACATTTATTAGCCGATTCAAAAGTCTTTTGTCTCATTTGTTTAATTTTCCATTCTACTTCCTGATTCATTATTTTCATATATTGTACTTGATATAACTTTAACTCTCTCAGAGTCTCTTGAGATTTGGGATTTACTCGCAATCTTTTTTCATAATTTTATCCTTCTTCTCATTTTGAGTTCTTTTCTTTATCGCATTCTGTTGTATTAAGAACCCTCTCATCACAGCTTTACTTGCATCCCAGATTACTCTTTTCTCCACGTTGGAACTAAGATTTATCTCAAAGTAATCTTTTAAGGTTTTTTGGGCCTTCTTAAGAAATTCTTCATCTCTGAATAAGGTGTCATTCATCTTCCATCTGAAGGAGCCAGTTGGCATTAGTCTCATTTCCATCTTAACAGCATTATGGTCGGAGCAAATTTTTGGGCAGATTTCCACCTTTTTGTTTTTGGTGCCATTCCTCTAGTTATCCAAATTTGGTCAATTCTTGTCCAAGTCATTTTGGCTTCAGAAAAGAAAGTTCCTTCTTTTACCAAGGGGTTTCTAATTCTCCAAATGTCCACTAAATCCAAGTTGTCTGTCATGTCAAAAAAGGTTCTCGGTAGTCTACCATCTTTGGTGACTACCTGTTTTTGTGCCTTGTCCATGTAGGTAGATACCACTCCATTCATATCTCCCATCAAAATTATGTTGTAATCCATATGGTCCATCAAGGTCTCATGCAACTTCTTAAAAAAATCGGATTTCCCATCATTTGGTGCATAAACTCCTACGATCAAAAATTTTTCTCCCTGTGTTTGAATTTCAATTGCCACAAATCTTCCTTGGTCATCCTTGAAAACAAATTTTGGTGATAAATTATCTTTTGCGTAGATCACAACTCCTCTCTATTAACTTTATCCGACGAAAGAAATTCCTGACCAAGTCTTTTGTTTATTAACAATTTCCTGTGTAGTCTCGTTATATGTGTTTCTTGTAAACAAATTAAATCTAATTGTTCCTTTTTTAATATATGAAATACTGACTTCCTCTTCTGAGGGGATTCAAACCCCGACAGTTCCAAGTTAAAAGTTGCAGGGCCATGATGTTATTGTTTTGATACTCCTCCTACTGCACCTAGTGCCTGTTCCTCGTCCGTCGGTGGTATCCCTTCTTTCGAGCGATCTTTTGGTTCCGGAGATAGTTCTTTTTGTAAGTCTTCTCCGTGGTCTCTGTAGAATTTATCTTTGTCGTCTTCCGATCTTATTTTCCTCTTCTTTCCCTTGTAGGTAAAAGACAGGCCTTGGGGGAGTTCCCACCTAAAATTGATGTTGTTCCTTCTCAGCAGGCTAACCAGATCTTTATATTTTGATCTGAGCTCCAGAATATATTTCGGAATGTCTTTGAATATTTCCACCCTTTTCTGATGAATTTCCAATGTTTTCCTGAAGTGTAGGCCCAAAATCTTATCCCTCTCTTCTTTTGTTCTAAAAGTAATCAGACAGTCTCTCACTTTCTTTTCTCCTTTTCTCCCAAGTCTAAATGCGTTTACTATTTTGAAACTGTCTTTTGCCAGTTCTGGATCCCAAAAGTCCAAAAATTCCTGCGTGAGAAATTCAGCTAAATTGTCCTTTTCCACCTCTGGTACTGACCTGACCCGAAGATTCACTTGCTTCTCCCTCAAATCTATCATAGACAGAGTTAGTTTATGGTCTTCCAATTGTTTATGCAATGTTGGTAGTTCCTCTTGAACCTCCTTGACATCCGTAGCAGAAGTTGTAGCAATTTCTTTGGCCTCTTCAGCAATCTGGCGAGTTGCGGCCGATTCCTCTAATAATTTCTGAATAGTCTCAGTGTTGGTATTTACTTTTTGGCCCAAATTATTTATACTTGCTGTATTTTGATCAATCTTCTCACAAGCCTCTGCTACTTGTTGACTTATTTTACTCAAAGATTCATTAACTTTGGCCAAAACTTGAGCAAAGGCTTCTTCACTTGTCGAGCTTTTTACCTTTGATTGTGCCGATGAGGCTGTTGTTGAGGTTCCAGAAAGGCCTGAGACCGAAGCTCTCCTTTGTAATCCTTCTTCTATGCGAATATTCCTCCCCGATCTTGTAGTCGAAGCCTCCGTCTTCTCTTTATCTGCCATTCCTTAGATAATTCTCAAGGTCAGACACGTAGTTAGAATTGTACAGTGCACAGTGGAAATTTCCTTCCAAATAGTGTGAGAACTCCTCCAGCCTGCTACAGTTACAGTTGTAATAAGTTGCAACAGTTCCAGGTTCCACTAGGGGGACACTGTAACAGTCCTAAAAGTTCTTGGTTACTTTAATTTCCTTTTTAAGTCCCCTAGTTTGTTTAACAGGGAATCAATCTATCACAGTTTTTCAACTTAAGACCAGGAGATATATATTCACAAGATCTTATCCAGATTTTTTAACCAATGCAGGACTAGCTGTCAAAATATATTACAAGACAGTACCTTTTTTTCCCCTAGGATCTGGAGAATCCTTTCCCAGGAAGTTGAGTGATGGTTTAATCTCTTCTTTTCCACTCTTTAAAAAGAAATCACCTCCAAAGATCTCCCCCTATTTTCCCTCAGTTTATAGAGGGAAAAGTCCAGGTTCAGTGATTGGATTAAAATCCTCTAAAAACGTCCTTTCCAAAAGCTTCCATTTTCAAGTTCAATGCTTTAAGTCTATCTACAATAGAAGGAGGTTGACTTCCTTTTTAAACCTCCTCCGTTTTCAGCCTGATTTCAGATTTAATTTGTACAGTTCCAATTTGAGTAAATCCTACTCACGGATCGTTGCTTTTCAAGTCCGGATTTCAAGAAAGAAAGGCAGCGCTCTCCGATTGACAGCTTGCGGCTTCACTCCACGAACGAGCAGACAGCCCACAGCACCGCGCTCTCCCCCGCTCCGATTTCAAGCCCGTTTCTGGGCTTTTTGCCGGGTTGGGGGGGGAACACCAAATGTGCCCGCTGGGTCCCAGGTTCACAGGCTTCCCCCGCCTGTGATTTTTAGGGGTCCCCCGCTGCGCCGAAGCAGGATCCGACCCTTTTTTCGTGGGGCTTACTCCCTCCGATCGAGGGAATCCGCCATCAATCGCTGGCGCCGCCTCCGGAAGTCCTATAATTTTGTGTTTTATGAGGACCATATGAGGATTATTGTTAACGTATTTTACTTAATTTTTCCCTTCAGTTTTTTTCTGTTTGATATATATATATATATTTATTATTCTCTTTAAAGGTAAAGGTAAAGGGACCTCTGACCATTTGGTCCAGTCGCGGATGGCTCTGGGGTTGCTGCGCTCATCTCACTTTACTGGCCGAGGGAGCTGGCGTTTGTCCGCAGAAAGATTATGGGTCATGTGGCCAGCATGACTAAGCCACTTCTGGCGAACCAGAGCAGCACACGGAAACACCGTTTACCTTCCCACCGGAGCGGTACCTATTTATCTACTTGCACTTTGACGTGCTTTCGAACTGCTAGGTTGGCAGGAGCAGGGACCGAACAACGGGAGCTCGCCCCGTCGCAGGGATTTGAACCGCCGACCTTCTGATCGGCAAGTCCTAGGCTCTGTGGTTTAACCCACAGCGCCACCCGTGTCCCTCATATTATTCTCTTTAGTTTAGTTTGATTTTTATGGTATACAGTGGTACCTCGGGTTACAGACGCTTCAGGTTACAGACGCTTCAGGTTACAGACTCCGCTAACCCAGAAATAGTACCTCAGGTTAAGAACTTTGCTTCAGGATGAGAACAGAAATCGCGGAGCAGTGGTGTGACAGCAGCGGGAGGCCCCATTAGCTAAAGTGGTGCTTCAGATTAAGAACAGTTTCGGGTTAAGAACAGACCTCCAGAACGAATTAAGTTCTTAACCCGAGGTGCCACTGTATTAGGTTGAAAACCTTTAATAAAATTGATGTGGTTTTTTTATTTTTTAAAAAATGAACATATATTAATGGGATTGTGCTGTTAGTTAATTTCTGTTCCACTTTCCTGCAAAAGTGTATGATACAGCACACAATGGGTTGAAAAGATACTCAATATAGTGTAAAAATTCAGCAATAGGAAATAGAAAAATACTGAAAAACTGTTAAAACTGTAGCATATGTCAATTCTCATGGTTCACATATTCTGTAGAGGTGTTTTAGGAGAAACTCAGCAGCAACTTAAGGCAATGCAGACCTTCCCAAGAAATGTTGCCTGTCCTACGGACATTCCTTTGGAACCTTTAAAAACCTCCTCAATTGTTTTTCCTGTTTTGCTTTGCTTATAGTAGTTGTATTATGCCTGACTGTATATTAAATGACACACTTTATAGTTGAATCAGTTAGGCGCTTTGAGGCATGTGTATTGCAAGTGGGACTTGCAATCCTAAAATGCATTAAGCGGTATTTGTTCAAGGAGTTGGGCTAACTTAACAACCTTTAGCTGCAGCGTGTAACTTCGATGTATGAAGAAGAAGAAGAAGAGTTTGGATTTGATATCCCGCCTTACACTCCCTTTAAGGAGTCTCAAAGCGGCTAACATTCTCCTTTCCCTTCCTCCCCCACAACAAACACTCTGTGAGGTGAGTAGGGCTGAGAGACTTCAGAGAAGTGTGACTGGCCCAAGGTCACCCAGCAGCTGCATGTGGAGGAGCGGAGACGTGAACCCGGTTCCCCAGATTATGAGACTACCGCTCTTAACCACTACACCACACTGGCTCTCAGTGCCCCTTGCTCAGCCTCTACATCTCCCCCATGAGTTCCCACAACCCTCTGGGGTAGATTTAGGGGTGCGTGGTGGGCTCATGTGAAGAGGAGAGGCTGGGTAAATTACATAGCACAGCTAAAAGTTGTTGTGCTAGCACAACTCCATAGTTGAATACCATCCATTGTTTCCTTGACAACAGGTTTCCTATTAAAAGCACATTGCTAATAAGACTATTGGATGTCAAGTTGCCATAAAATTTCGAAAGTGTTGCAGGTTGCAGACCTGGAGAATGAGACTTGAATGCATAAGCGTGGCTATACTTAGCTGATGATGGACAACGTTTTTAAAACAGTGCACAAATCTGGTAAACAGAACTTTTGAGACATCATCTGTTGATTAACTCTTAGGGTCATATAGAGAACAAATCATTATATTATGCTTTTAAAGAACAACATCTAAAGCAAAATATATTATTGGGATTCCCCCTCATCCTTTTCTGTTTCTGAAAGTGTCAGATGACCTTAGATGGGATACATTTCTATAAATAAATGTTATTCTCTGGCTAACAATGCATTTCATATACAGAACATTCTGAATGCTGGATCTGGAATTGTCAGCCTCCTGGGGCCTCTGCATCATTGCATGACCCAAGGCAACAAATTGTGTTTTCAGCATTAACACACGCAATTGCATTGTCAATCACTTCAAGCTGCAGGTGGGGAATCGTTAGACATCAAATATTAAAATTTGCCATAATGGGAGATAGTGGAGCTCAGCCTTATAAATGCACCTCAAGTAATTTTAGCTTGCGTATGTATCGTCTGTAGATGATAGGCTCCTGTAAACTGAACCCACACACTGCAGGCTTGGAAGAGTCTTCCACAATGTGTAAAAGGGAGGAGGAAACCTCCAGCTACGATCCTTTGAATGGGATGGAATAAGGGTTTTGCAAGCATGCCCTTATTTCCATTTGTGAAATGTTAAGGGTGTGTGTGTTACAGCAGTGGTGGACCTTGGGGTCTCAAATTTCAACGACACCTGGTGTGATCTCAAAATTCAGCACCACTCACCTCTCGCCTTTGGGACGCGGGTGGCACTGTGGGTTAAACCACAGAGCCTAGGACTTGCCAATCGAAAGGTCGGCGGTTCGAATCCCCACGACGGGGTGAGCTCCCATTGCTCGGTCCCTGCTCCTGCCAACCTAGCATTTCGAAAGCACGTCAAAGTGCAAGTAGATAAATAGGTACCGCTCCGGTGGGAAGGTAAACAGCGTTTCCGTGCACTGCTCTGGTTTGCCAGAAGTGGCTTAGTCATGCTGGCCACATGACCTGGAAACTGTACGCCAGCTCCCTCAGCCAATAAAGCGAGATGAGCACCGCAACCCCAGAGTCGGTCACGACAGGATCTAATGGTCAGGGGTCCCTCTACTTTACCTTACACCTCTCGCCTTACATTCTACATCGTAGTTGCAGTGCCCTCTGATGTGTCCCAAGGCTACTGTGCCCAGCACAACTGAACTGGTCACAGTCCCCTAATTCTGCATCTGGTTAAAGCTCATCACTAGCAAATGGGGTGCAATCTACTTACCCTTAAAGTGTCTTAAAGTCTCCCCAATTTTGCACGGGAGAGAGGTAAGCGCTTGCCTAAGTCTCGGACTGAAATCAATAGACCTAATGCACTTGGCTTGAACTGGATCATGGCCTCAATTTGTTTACCTAGGCTGCTGAGGGGGTTTCCCATCACCCTGTATTTCCTGCAGCTTTCGCCCATTCCACCAGCAGGTCAATTAGCAAAGGATCTATTGATCCACAGTCTTTTGAAATGCCCTCTTGAACAAGGGATCTTCCTATACAGGCAGCCTTGAGAAAGGAGCACTGCCGCCCGTCACACTCGCAGGCACGGTCGCCTCTCCAATTGCTGGAGCTTTGATTGACTTCAAGAGTAATTTTGGCTGATAGAAAGCACAGAAGGAGCTAAAAGCCCAGAACAAAGACCCCTGACTCAATTATTTCAGGGAAAGGAGAGGAAAGGCTCAAATGAAAGCCCTGTAAAGCCTAGTTCAGATGAATGGGAAATAATTGAGCATCCTCTTGCTGCTGTGTCTTTTCTTCAGTGGAGCAGGAGTGTGCTGGGCCTGGGGGTAACTCGTGAAATGCGGTCCAGGACTGGTCCAGAATCCGAAGGTTCTGCTAGGAGTCAGTCTGACAGGGCCAAGGCAGGACACGAGGCAGGAAACCAGACAAGGGCAGGTGTAGGATCTGGCATACAGCAATGTTGCTCCCACAACCCGGGGAGGGGTCCAACAGCCTTTTATCTTTATCAGGGTAATGGCCGGACCTGATCCCCCGGCGACTCACCCGAAGGTGAGCACTCTTCCTGTGAGTACTCAGGTCTCTCCTTCTCTCAGACCTTAGTCTCTGCATCTTGGGAGACGTCGGTGGGTTACTAGACCCAGGGGCTGCCTCAGTCTCCCCTGACCCAACCAGTAGTGGAGCAGCTGTAGGTGATGGCCCAGCTGAAGGCAATGAGGTAATCCCTGTGTTCATGGAAGACAATCTTACTTGGCTATGAGTGATCGCTGAAGAAGAAGAAGATATTTGGCTATTATTGGATGGGAGGTAGTGGCTACTGGTTTTTTCCTCAGTATTGGACACATTGTCCAGCTTGTGCCATTGAAGTACAACAGATTAAAAGCAATTCAAAGCAAACAGCAGAGGAGTTGACTTTGTTTTGTTTTGTTTAGGTTGCCTGATTGTTCCTGTTCTTTCACTTTAAAGCATCTCATTAGCTTTCAAAGAAGACGAAAGAGCATTGTTTTTCTCTCATCCTATCCCAAGTCATCGTTGTTGTAACTGAAGCCGTTCATTTCAGATCAGTGGCGGCTTAAACCGCTTGAACTTATGCCCAGTATCAGAACAATAGCACCTATTAATTCTGTAAGACAGTGATATTCTTGCAGACAGTTTGAGTATTTAATTTTTTGAGAAGCACTTCATCTTGGGGAAGCCAAGCGACGCAAGGGGCGTCATGTCACACCACATTTCAATCTTTCCCCACGATCTGCATTTCTAATAAACGGGTTTCAATCTGCAGGAGGTAATGAATGCAAGGACAAGGGAGTTGCCAGAGAGGTGCAGACAATTCCACAACTGACAGGCAATTTACACAACGAGGCATATCCAGAAAGCAAGGCAAGAACTGAGATGAACTACTAAATGGGATCCCTTCCCCCCTCCTTTTTTTTTTGTCACTGGGATGGGGAAACAGATCAAAGAAACGATAAAGTAGGGGGAGAAAATCAGAGATAATGATGGTAATTTGTTTCTTTATTCTGAGATAATTGATCCACACTGAAGAAATAATTACAGTGCATTAAAGAAATTAAGGGGAAGACAAAGGGAAAGCTGCCGAGTGAAGACAAGTTTGCACTGAGATACTGTAATTATGACATTTGGGAAGCCATAATATTTTGATGTCGGCCTTTCAACGTTGAGGACGCAGGAGTAGCAGAGCAGCTGCTTCAGAACAACTGGTATACATCCATCCTCAGCTTCCTGCCATCTCCCCATACCTGTCTCTTTCAGTCTGCAGCAAGAGCTCTTTGCTGCTAGACATAAGGAAGTTAAAATGGCATGACAGTCCATTCAGTCACTGAAGGAAAGCACCACGGCTTTGGTCAGCTCAGTAAGACGGCCAGTTGTGCCTCTGGGTTGATGTCTAATCTATTGACCAGACTTCTCACCTGCAGAATCAATGCTTGCTTCTTGCATTTAAGCTACAGTCTTGTTTCTTGCATCTAAGCTACAGTCTTGCTTCTTGCATCTAAGCTACAGTCTTGCTTCTTGCATCTAAGCTACAGTCTTGTTGTAGAATCAGGACAGCAGGGGAAAGCTCCTGAAGAAACAACAACCCCCAAAAAGGATTCACCAAGAGGAGTAAGATGTTTATGAATGTAACGGCAGCAGCTAGGATTTTCTGTGCACAAAAATAGAAGGAAGGAAAAAGTTCCCACCAAAGAAGAATGGATAAGTAAACCTAATGATGATTGTTTTGTAGAAAAATCTAAGGCTTTTTCAGACTATTTAAGAATAAATAAGTTATAGTATGGTGAATTCATGAGCAGGATTTGAACTATGAGCAACGGAAGGAATTAAAAATTACTGCATTGTTGTTATAAGGGAGAGAAGATTAGGTGCAACAAAGGGGAGAAATTAAAAAAAACAAACCCACCATGGAAAACAGGGTGGGAAGCCAATAAAACAAAAGAAAAAATTACGTATTGGAGGGTATATGTGAAATTTTTGAAACTGAATAAAATATAAATAATAATGATTGTTGTTGTTTAGTCGTTTAGTCGTGTCCGACTCTTTGTGACTCTATGGACCAGGCACTCCTGTCTTCCACTGCCTCCCGCAGTTTGGTCAAACTCATGCTGGTAGCTTCGAAGACACTATCCAACCATCTCGTCCTCTGTCGTCCCCTTCTCCTTGTGCCCTCCATCTTTCCCAACATCAGGGTCTTTTCCAGGGAGTCTTCTCTTCTCATGAGGTGGCCAAAGTATTGGAGCCTCAGCTTCACGATCTGTCCTTCCAATGAGCACTCAGGGCTGATTTCCTTCAGAATAGATCAGTTTGATTTTCTTGCAGTCCATGGGACTCTCAAGAGTCTCCTCCAGCACTATAATTCAAAAGCATCAATTCTTCGGTGATCAACCGTTCTTGATGGTCCAGCTCTCACTTCCATACACCACTACTGGGATCCCCTTCATGGATCACTGCCTTACCGTGGCAAAGGGGCTTGAAGCTATGCACTGTGCCTTGCAGGGCCACCCAAGATGGACAGGTCATAGTGGAGAGTTTTGACCAAACGTGATCCACCTGGAGCAGGAACCGGCAAGCCACTCCAGTATCCCTGCCAAGAAAACTCCATGGACAAATACAACAGGCATAATAATGATACAACCTCTCAAAAAGGATTCATAAGAACCCCAAAAGAGCCCTGCTGGATCAAATCAAAGGCCTATCTTGTTGAGCAACCTGTTCTCATGGGAGCCAGTTAGATGTTTATGGAAATCCTGGACAAATTCATAGAGGAGAAGGCTATCAATGGTTACTATTCATGATTGCTCTGCTCTGCCTCCATAGCTGGAGGTAGTAATGCTTCTGAACACCAGTTGCTGGAAACTATAAAAAGGGAGAGGGTTCTTGGGTCTGGGTCTTGCTTGCACGTTTCCTATGAACATCTGGTTGGCCACTGTGAGAACAGGATGCTGGACTAGAGAGGTCATTCACTTGATTCTTGTGTTCTTACCCTTTTCTCCCAGGAGGGATGCTCCAGCCACTTGATCACTATGATCTCTGGGGTTCACTTCCAGCTGGATCTTGGAGAACGTTCCCCCAGCATTTGTGCTCTGATACATTGTTTTCTTGAATGTTCTGAAGGCAACTCATAGCCGATTGCATCCCAAAAGTAGCTTTTTTTATTGTGCGACGGTCAGAGCTTTGCTAAAGAGGCCAGTGTGTGTGTGTGTGTGTGTCTCTGTGTTTGTGTGTGTATGAATGAAATAGAATTGTCTGTCATTCAGCCTGTGCTTCATATTATCTGATGGTAATTCACAATGCAGTGATATTTTTGCTTTCCTCACCAGCAATGACATGCCACCGATCAAATACAGGAAAGCGTTGTCACATTAATTCCTGTCATTGGCTTTAATACACACCCCTCTGTGAATCTCTTCGATCCATAAAACTTAAATTCATATGTCGAATGCTACTCAGCAGTTTTGAGAGAGGCAAGCGAAATGGTTTGTTTGGATGATGGAACGGGTGCAGAATACATAACAAATGATGGGACCTAGTCTGAGAAAGTCCATGTGCATGTTAGTGCATGCATGATAATAGCACATCCTTGCAGGCCTCATGCTACATCTGATTTCCTGCTATCCTTCCTCTGAGTACTTGGACCACAGCAATCTCATTCAGGTTGCTGAATTTCGGATTTGGCATCCCAATGTGACACGAAGCAGGTGACATGCTAAGGGTCGTGGCTCAGTGCTAGAGCATTTCAGGGACCGTGCTGAGGAGGGCTGCACTGAGGAGGAATAGTGGGAGCCTCCCCCTCCCCCAGCTCCGGATCCTGAATCTTCCCAGGAGCAGGAGGACAGTATAGATTTGGAACACTGGTTTGCAGAGGGACGTAGTTCAGAAGGCAGAAGCTGGGAAATACTGGATGGGGAACAGCTAGGAGAAGAAACACTGGGAGAGATAGAGTTAACAGATTCACCTTCTCTGGAAAGTATTCATCTGCTCTCCCCAAGGTCAAGAAGAGCTGAGAAAGTGGCAGCACAGAAAGCACATCAGGTCACAAGACGCGGTAGTGACGTGGGTGACTAGGGAGGAAGAGGGTGGGACCCTTTATTGGGAGCACCGTCATTCCTAGGAAATGGATTCTTTGTTCTCTCGCTGTGATCATTAAAGATTCTAACTGGTAAGAAAACTCCCTTTCCTTTGTTCTGCTTATCTACTGCCAATGGGGGGAGGATGTTGATTCCCTGAAGCCTGACAGAGCATCTGTTTGCATGTGGAAGGTCCCAGGTTCAACCCCTGCATCTTCCAGTAGAACTGGGAGAGAACCCTGACTGAAATACTCTGTCGGCCAGTTCTATAGACAATACTGAGCTACATGGACCAGTGGTCTGACTCTGAACAAGGCAGCTGCCCATAGGTGGTATTCTACCAATGAGCCCTGTCAGTGCAAGGATGTCTGTTTATAGAATTAGGACTTTCCCTTCTCCCTTCCCCCCTGTGCACACACTGAACCTTTCCCAAATCTGCTCCAAAGCATTGGGGGCCTCCTAGAACATATCTAACAACAATTATAATAGCAATTTTATTATTTGTAACCCACTCATCTGATTGAGTTGTCCCAGCCATTCTAACTGGCTCCCAACAAAATATTAAAAACACAAGAAAACATCAACCTTTAAAAACGTCCCTGAACAGGACTCCCTTCAGGTGTCTTCTAAAGGTTGTATAGTTACTTATCTCCTTGACATCTGACCAGGAGGGGGGTTGTTCCACAGGGAGGGTGCCACTATCGAGAAGGCCCTTTGGCTGGTTCCCTGCAGCTTCATGTCTCTCAGTGAGGGAACCACCAGTAGGCCCTCAGAGCGGACCTCAGTGTCTGGGCTGGATGGTGGGGGTGGACATGCTCCTTCAGGTATACAGATGATGTTCAAGGACCTCTGTGTGGGTCATTGGTTTAACTAAGGATGAGTTTTCAAGCTCAAACGAGCCTTACATTGGACTTATCTTTCTCCCTGTTCAGTTAAGTGAGGCTACAGTTTTTAATGTAGTATAATGCAAAATTACCATTCATACCTTCAAAGCAACAACTCAAAGACATGCTTTACCAGCTATTGAAACAGCTCATTGGATGACGAACCTGAGATATATCTGCATAATTCTCCTGCACATATGAGCAAATGGTCTTCTAAGTAATTTAATGCTTCATCTCCTGCGTTATGGTCCCTTCACTCACCTTTGAATGAAGGGTGAGCAAAAGGAGGGAAAGGAAAGGAAGGAAATCTAGAGCTGTCATTTCATTACCCTTACAACACTAGCTTATGGTTTCACCGAACTCCTCTTGGGGAGGAAGATATAGCAAGATTTTTCTCTGTTGGTCTAAATCCCCCCACTCTGCTTTTGGTAGCTGCAGACACAAAGCAGCTAATTTCCTATGGAAATTGTCTTCTTCCCCTTACCTGATTGTCATCACAGATCAGATGCTTATAAATTGGAAAATTAAATCAAGACTGAACATATCCCTTTGTGTTTTGGAGGGGCATAAGGGACCCCCAAGAAAAACAAAAAATGGTTCTAGCAGATTGTCAGATTGCCAGAACAGATACCATATTTTTCTGTGTATAAGATGCCCCCGTCTATAAGACACCCCCTATTTCTGGGGACTCAAAATTAAGAAAATGGGGGGGGGGGAGATTGCCCCCGTGTATAAGACTATCCCCCCTTTTAACATTAGGTAAAGGTAAAGGGACCCCTGACCATTAGGTCCAGTTGTGACCGACTCTGGGGTTGCGGCGCTCATCTCGCTTTATTGGCTGAGGGAGCCGGCGTACAGATTCCAGGTCATGTGGCCAGCATGACTAGGCTGCTTCTGGCGAACCAGAGCAGCGCACGGAAACGCCGTTTACCTTCCCGCTAGAGCGGTACCTAGTTATCTACTTGCACTTTGACATGCTTTATTTTTTAGTAAAAAAAAAAAACCCTAGTCTTATACACAGAAAAGTAAGGTATTTCATGTGCATTACCGTATTTTTCGTTCTATAGGACGCACCGGTCCATAGGACGCACCTCGTTTTTTTGGGGGGGGGAAATGAATAAAAAAAATCCCCCCCCCGCGGCTGCCGCCCCAAGCCTCGCGTGCTTCGGGCGACAGACTGCCGCCCCAAGCCTTGCGCGCTGGGCGGGACCTCCCACCGGGCGCGCGAGGCTTGCAGACACTCGCCGAAGCACGGGAGCCCTCCGGAGGGCTCCCCGTGCTTCGGGCGACAGACTGCCGCCCCAAGCCTTGCGCGCTGGGCGGGACCTCCTGCCGGGCGCGCAAGGCTTGCAGACACTCGCCCTAAGCACGGGGAGCCCTCCGGAGGGCTCCCGTGCTTCGGGCGACAAGCTGCAGCCCCAAGCCTTGCGCGCTGGGCGGGACCTCCTGCCGGGCGCGCAAGGCTTGCAGACACTCGCCCGAAGCACGGGAGCCCTCTGGAGGGCTCCCGTGCTTCGGGCGACAAGCTGCAGCCCCAAGCCTTGCGCGCTGGGCGGGACCTCCTGCCGGGTGCGCAAGGCTTGCAGACACTCGCCCGAGCACGGGAGCCCTCCGGAGGGCTCCCGTGCTTCGGGCGACAAGCTGCAGCCCCAAGCCTTGCGCGCTGGGCGGGACCTCCTGCCGGGCGCGCAAGGCTTGCAGACACTCGCCCGAAGCACGGGAGCCCTCCGGAGGGCTCCCGTGCTTCGGGCGACAAGCTGCAGCCCCAAGCCTTGCGCGCTGGGCGGGACCTCCTGCCGGGCGCGCAAGGCTTGCAGACACTCGCCCGAGCACGGGAGCCCTCTGGAGGGCTCCCCGTGCTTCGGGCGACAGGCTGCTGCCCCAAGCCTCGCGCGCTGGGCGGGACCTCCTGCCGGGCGCGCAAGGCTTGCGGACACTCGCCGGGGCTGCAGGCTGCTGCCTGCAAGCCTTGTGAGCCCGCGGGAACTCCCACCGGGCTTGCAAGGCTTGCGGATAGCTTCCTGAAGCCTGGAGAGCGAGAGGCATCGGTGCGCACCGACCCCTCTCGCTCTCCAGGCTTCAGCGAAAGCCTGCATTCGCTCCATAGGACGCACACACATTTCCCCTTCATTTTTGGAGGGGAAAAAGTGCGTCCTATGGAGCGAAAAATACGGTAATTCAAATGCATACATTTCTTTTTTAGAACCTTGGTCAGAAGGAAGCAGGGGCAGGAATGATAAGAAGCAAACAAGAATACAAAGCCATTTGACAACACAGGGAAGAAGACCATACAGTGATATTCCTTTGCAATGCAAGTAGGGTGATGTGGTTTAGTGATATTACTGATCTCCTTGGGTAGCTGACTTGTCTGAGTCCCTCTGAATATTCCAAAATAGATGTGAGACTCAGCCAGAACTGGTTCAATGTCCTACCACATTCTGCCTCCGAGCTTGAGGTTCCCCATGTTAAAGATATAAATTTAATATGTATAAAATGCTATGTTTGAATGCATTGTATTTAAAATGTTATGCAGACAGATTTGTGTTAGGCAAGAGAGGTTTGTTTCTAGCTAATGTGGCAGAAAAGGCAGGATGTTTCTGTTTGAGTGTTTAAGGCTGATTGATGACTCACCCCTGGAAATCCAAGCAGAGATTGCTCTCAGCATGAGATGAAACCTGAGAACTCAGTGTCTCAGTCAATCTTCAGAGCCGGTGTCAGGAGAAGCTCAGTTCAGCGCTCCTGAACAAGCAAGATGCTTGCATAGGCTCTCTCTCTGGGTCCAGAGAAAGGAAAATTTATTGAACTGGATTAAAGGCTAAAAAGAAGACCGAACCGCATTGCTTTCTGTTTAAGAGCAATATGTTATTTTGTATTTTGTAACATTTATTTGTAACTATTTTAAGACTGTTTTCCATTAAAGCTTTGACATTCATTCTTGTGGTGGAGAGCAAATTCATTTCTACTCCACACCGATCCTGATCAGGGATTCTGTTTGCAACAGCTCTGACACCCCACCCATGAATTAGACGGGTTTCAGATACTTTTGAAACCTGTCTGCATAGAGCACCAATGGAAAGCTAAAAATTGTCCATAGTAAGAAACTACTACAAAGACTTTTAAGAGAAGACATGGCATGGAGTTATGATTGTAGCAAACATGTGCTGCACACAGCTCCGGTGGCTCCTTTAACCTGCTTTTTGTTTCTTTTGCCCGTTCCTCATCCCTGATGGCGATGAGAAAATATATTTTACAAAAGACATTTAAAAGCCCTTTGTGGTGTTTTTTCCGAACATGTAGCTATTTTATTCTTGCCTGTTTCCTTCTTCTGTTCGGGGAGATGGGGATTAGCGTACTTCCCTCGCCACACGTACCCACACCCAAGAGAGGAAGCAACACGGCAGAAAGCAAAGACAATAATCTTTTGACCGGGCTATCCTGAAAGAGAAAAGGACAATGAGCCAGAGATCAATTTCCTATAATAGTCTAGTTCAATGAGCTGGAGAAGGTTCAATTAACACATCATTTACCCTTCAGGAAGCTTATGGAACTAGTTTAGATGTTTCTGTTCTGTGGCCTCTTTCACCGGTCTTAGGACATTTCCTGCCCTGCTCAGAGGAACAAAGCTGGCTCATCACTATTGAGTTTCTGGCCATTCATTTAGGATCACTGATGTTCCACACGAGGGCTACCATTAGGCTGTGTGCTTTGGATCCAGGCTGTGCACACAGATGATAGCTTTTCGGAGATGTGGCGCGGGTATTGAAAAGCTGTCTTCCTGTCTTTGACTGTGAGACACAGGATCATTTTGTGTGTGCCTCCCTGGATAAAACAGGGATGCAGGTTCTTGTAGCATCCCCATAGAAAAGGCAAAGGTAGTCCCCGGAAGCATGTGCCTGTTCTGGTCTGACTATGACACTGTCGGCTGAATGCCTATTGCACAGCGCCCATGCTGAGCAGCACTCTCTCTCTCTCATTCCCACTGCTCAACAATGCTTGGAGCATTGGCGTTGGGGCCTAGGAATGAGGTTGGCGATAGAAATCCTACAAGATGGGTGGGGAGAGATAGGTTCTTCCCTACCAAATCCCGGATCTTTGCTTGGGGGGGGGAATAGCTGGATTGCTGGAGATTTTGGGGTTCAACATCTCCTCCCAGGGCAGACAACACCACCTTCTTTTTGCTCCCCCCAACCCCCCCCCACAAATAAATTAAGAATTGTGTTTCCATCTTCCTTGGGATAGCCTGCCCAAACTTCACAACAGAACATGGTTTTCCTGAGCTTTAAGATATTGCCCTAGATCAAAAGCAGGCCTTTCAATGTGGTCAAAAGCTAAACCCAGAAATGAAGATTCCCCTCCCCTTTTTGTGTGCGTGCGGGTTTTTTTGTTCTTTCTGGGGTTTTCCGGTCCTTTTTTATATATCTCCTTTTTGTTAAGAGAAATTTGAATAAGACTTTTAATAAAAGACTTCAGTTTTTTAAAACCAAAATAAAATAAATAAAATAAATGCTTGGAGCAATTCTGGAATTGATTTGGAATATCATTATTTTTTTAAAAAGCACCTCTTTACTACCTGAAAGGATGGACATACACCTTCATAGGTAACTCTTCCAAAAGTGTGTGTGGGGGGGGAGAGTACCTCTTCCTCAGAAGTTAAATAATTAAAACAAGCCAGTGCACATTCATGGTCCTGACCCTTCAGCCACCCCACCCTGTACCCATCCAGGTTAGTTGCAGTGAGGTCAGTGTCGAGAGAGTGGCTCTATGTGCCTCTGCTGCTTTAGGGTGGAGTGTTCAACCTAACCAGAACAGGTGGAAGCTCATCTCTCAGATCAGACAGACCATTCACCATTAACATCTTTGTCTTGTCTAGGCTGAACTTCAGATAACTGGTCCACCTCCCGTTCATTGCCGATTCCAGACACTGATTCAGCTTTTGCCCAGATCCACCTGACTCCGATGAAAAGGAGAAAAAGGAGCAGTGATTATAAGCACGGCTATTCATGGCATGCCTGAGTTTTTAATTAAAACGCACCTCATCCCACTAGCCAGCCAATGCCTCTTGTGGTAGCAAACATTAAGCACATTTTAAAATACTAAAAAGCGACACACACTTTAGATCGCCTGCCTTTTGCCACCTAATTTCTATGTCGAATAAATCCACTATAAATTGTCAGGGTGAATGGGCAAGGGAGCTATTGACATTTTTTGAAAAGGCAAACCTTAAAAAAAGAAAAAGAAAAGCCCAACTTGGACAAGCATTATCTCAAAGACAGCTCTTGGCTGGTAGTGAAGTGGAAAGAAATTCAGAGTTCTGTCTGGATTCTGCCGAAGTCAATGACTAAACTCCTATTGACTTCAATTGGATTACATTTGCCCCCTAAACGTCTAGCAGGCTTTTCGAACTGTTGTTGCACTGGCAAGTCTAATACCCTGTGATTCTCTCTGTGAAATCAAAGAAGGATTATCTCTCCTTGTACTTGGAGAATGATCCCTGTAGAGTGCACTGTGATGCTTTCGAAACAGGGCCAATTGAAAAGCCCCTTTCCCCAAGTAACTAGCAAAATGCTCCGTGCATCCACAAGCATGCCGTTAATTAAGGACTCCTTTAAAACACAGTCTTAAGGCTGGGTACACATCATTCCACCCTTCAAAAATAAATGCAATTTGTACAGTCAAAGGCAATGTTTGCATTCAGCGTCTCTGCTAGGTCTAGCTGCAGTAATTAACATCGTAATTAAAATACTGCCTATTATGTTTCAAAATAGTAAAGAAAACAAATTTCTTTATCATTAGGAGATGAGGTCAGTGAATGTAAGCATTGTGGGGTTTTGGGGGAATTAACCTGTGCAAAAAAAGAGAGTTTAAACACACAGGGTACTTCCACAGGAGGGTTTCTTGTGCAATGAGTGCTACTTACAAGGAATGCTAGAATTCTCAAAAGCATCGACACGTGGAGCGCTACAAGACTGATATAAGCATTCCACATCGTGGTTATTGCTAATATAAGAACTGAATAGACTGTATCTCCTGATCAGTCCGCTGGACTTTAATCTCTCAGAATATGTTCCGCTCATATGATAAGTTGGTTTATGGAATTACATAGTGTGATATGATATGTTGAATTGTTTTTTTAAAATAGAAGTTATACTGTTACATACAGCCTGTTACGTCGTGTCCGTGCTTCTCATGCATGAGATTTTTGTGTTTCGTGTGTTTGTGCAGAATCCACATGACGTCATCAGAATGCTGATCCGTATCCCTTCTCTCCAATTTAATCCAGACTTGCCCTATCAGGAGGAAATCTGATATGTTAGGAAAAAAGAACTGTTCCCAATGACCCATTTGCAATATTTCAGTAGCTTGTTGACAATATTAAGCCCCCAACTGGCAGCGTTCAGGGTCACAGATAGAGAGCCAGAGACAAAAGTAAATCATGCTCATTGGAGCTGTGTGTTCCAGATGCAGAGAGAGAGTGAGAGAGAAATGTAAGCAACTCAGATCATACCTTGATATGCATGTGGCACTGTGGGTTAAACCACAGAGCTTAGGACTTGCCGATCAGAAGGTTGGTGGTTCGAATCCCCGCCACGGGGTGAGCTCCTGTTGCTCGGTCCCTGCTCCTGCCAACCTGGCAGTTTGAAAGCACGTCAAAGTGCAAGTAGAGAAATAGGTACCACTCCGGCGGGAAGGTAAATGGCATTTCCGTGTGCTGCTCTGGTTCGCCAGGAGCGGCTTAGTCATGCTGGCCACATGACCCGGAAGCTGTACGCCGGCTCCCTCGGCCAATAAAGCGAGATGAGTGCCGCAACTCCAGAGTCGGCCACGATGGTCAGGGGTCCCTTTACCTTTACTTTATCCTTTGGCTCAGGGATAGAGATGCTTAACATGGCCCATCAGGGACCTCGTAGATCTCCTGAGTGTTTTTCTGTGTCCTCTCCCCCAGGACTGCAGCACTTCCTGGAGCTGTCAAGCACTTCTCCAGGGGATGCAAAACATGGTTAGTGGGTTCCATTGGCTCTCGAATCCGTCAGGCGTAAGTTGGGCAGACATTACAACTGTCCTTTAGTTTTTTTCTATAATTTTTATTAAATTTTCTGTTTTACATTTTAGAATATTCATTGAAACAGCCTTAAAATTTCAGTGACTTCCCTGCTTCCCTTTCCATGCTTCATTTTGCATAACAGAAATCCCTGCATATTTTATATAAAGAAGTATAAAGTATAAGAACCCAGCATCAAAAAACTATGCATCCTCAAGACCAAATGCCGGTGATATAGCCAACCATACTGGAGCTGGTGCTACAGAGAGACCACCTGAGAGCTCTCATTTCTGACTTAGTAGAAGAGTTTGGATTTGATACCCCGTCTTTCACTCCCTTTAAGGAGTCTCAAAGCGGCTAACATTCTCCTTTCCCTTCCTCCCCCACAACAAACACTCTGTGAGGTGAGTGGGGCTGAGAGTCTTCAGAGAAGTGTGACTAGCCCAAGGTCACCCAGCAGCTGCATGTGGAGGAGCGGAGATGCGAACCCGGTTCCCCAGATTACGAGACTACCGCTCTTAACCACTACACCACACTGGCTCTCAGTAGTAGACCTCAGAAAGTTCTTAATATCCTCACTTGGAATTTGGCAGAAAGGAGATAAAGATTTACCGTATTTTTTGCTCTATAAGACTCACTTTTTCCCTCCCAAAATGTAAGGGGAAATGTGTGTGCATCTTATGGAGTGAATGCAGGCTGCGCAGCTATCCCAGAAGCCAGAACAGCAAGAGGGATTGCTGCTTTCGCTGCACAGCGATTCCTCCTGCTGTTCTGGCTTCTGAAATTCAGGATATTTTTTTTCTTGTTTTCCTCCTCCAAAAACTAGGTGTGTCTTATGGTCTGGTGCGTCTTATAGAGCGAAAAATACAGTAACTACGTTCCTGCAGAATTTTGATATCATCTGCCTGCAAGAAACCTGGCTGCAAGATGCTAACCTCCCACATTTGCAGGTATACTCTCAGCATAGTCTCCCTGCAGTCAAGAGGCAACAAAAAGGACGAGGAAGTCGTGGACTGACTACCTTTACCTCACTGGATCTGGCTGGGGAAATTAGTGTTGTGGAGTTGGATCTCCTTTATGAATATTTCTTGCCACTACAGTTTAGTGCAGAGGCAGGAGGCCCATTTGTCTGTATTAACACTTACCTCCCACTAGTCCGCACCCTAGACGTGGTGGTTAAGATTTGGACTGACCTAACAAGTCTTATAGAGCAGATAAATGTGAAAAGCTCAGCATTCTATTATTACATCCATCAAAACTTTTTTACATTGCTGAATTTATCTTAATGCTGCCCACGTTCTCAAATGTACACAATTCCCCCCCATATATTTCCAATCTTCTTTAAACGTCAATTCTTCTTTGTTCTCTTATTCTATATGTTAGGTCTTGCAGACCAGACATTACAACTGTCTACCATCGGTGATAGATTCAGCCACAGTGTTGGCTCTCAGACAGGAAAGACATACTCTCCAACATTTTTCTGATGAAAATAAGTAAAGGTAAAGGGACCCCTGACCATTAGGTTTAACCCACAGCGCCACCCGGATGTCCTATTCCACCATGATGACGGTGATTTTATTTATACCCCACCCATCTGACTTGGGTTGCTTCCAACGTATATAAAACATAAATAAAAACATAATAAAACATTAAATATTAAAAAAACCACTTCCCTATACAGACTGGTTTCAGATGTCTTCTAAAGGTTGTATAGTTACCTATCTCCTTGGCTTGGAGGTCTTATAGCTCCATATCCTCCCACAAAAAGAGGGAAGTCCTAAGAAAAAGTGGGACATTCCAGGATCAATTTAGAAACCGGGGTGGCTTCTGTAAATCTGGGTCTATCCCTAGAAAATAGGGATACTTGGAGGGTCTGGCAAGGGTTTCTCTTTCAGGATCTGATTGCTTATATTCCATCTCATCGTGCTGCAGGGTCAAACACTGGTGACGAGTGCCCAAGGATGTTGGAACAGATTACTCAAATGGAATAAGAATACTGGAATCCTGAACGGGAAGCGCTCCAAACTGCAACATTTTTGTTGTGGGTCCTACCTGTCTACTGTATCCTGTGCCTTTAATATGACATGAGAAGTGCAGATATATAATAAAACCCTACTGTATATGACTAATATCTTAATGCTTCAGTACCATGAGCACTTCGTTAAAATGTACGTGTTGGTTCTTAGGTATAATCTCTTTTCCGTGAAAGGATAAGCGTTAATCTGGTGTAGGATTTACAACTGGATCAATGCCATACAGTGCTAAAGAGTGCTGAAGATTCCCACATTAATGTCCTCATGAAGAAAGGAGCTGAGTAGGTTCTCTTTCTCTTTCTCTTTCTCTTTCTCTTTCTCTTTCTCTTTCTCTTTCTCTTTCTCTTCATTCGATAGTTTTCAATGGCAGTGAGAGAGGCTGGGGGGCCGGGGGCCGGGGGCCTAGTTTGTTGTCTTCAGTTGACTGCAGTGAGTTTTCTTTGGGTTTGGGAGGCAGTAGGACGTGGGTTGTTGGGTCAAGTTAACCATATTATTTGTATATTGTCGGTGGGTTCCTGTTGTTGTCTTGTTGGGCTGTGTGTGTAATACAGGCAAGCCACACCCGGGTGAAGGAGTCTTCTTTTGTTTGTCCCCATACTATCTCCAGTTTGTTGTTTAACTTTTCTAACAGGGCTGTTTCCCAATACAATTTGGTACCAGTGGTCCATCTTCACTCCTGACAAGTCCCCCAGTGTCTCGCCATGATGCTTCTGGCTTTGATGTGTATCTATTGATGATGTCCCTGTGCCTCTGACTTTCAAAACTGATGTGTGCTCCCCCCCCACTCTGTGCAAGGAAGATCATGATATAGCACCCAAAATAATTTTTGGTTCTATCTTCTAATGGGGGCCACTGCATCAGTGTTATTATTGTGACAGGTTCTCCCCGGAGCACTGTTGGAAAAGCAGGCTACAAGGTTGAACATATTGTGCAAGGATGTACAAGCATGTACGTACCACACACACAGAAATCAGTTCTGTAAAAGCATCTGTGCACTGGGAAAAGGAGATAGTGGAGAAAATTAATTACACTTGCATACCTACAGTGCTTAGAAGAATTTAAAGAAATAAGATATTTATATTAGTATAGATTTTCATTACGTGTCACCTTGTGATGGCCCTGCAGCCTTCTAGGCAAACTCAACCATTGGTGTCTCCCCATGTATTGACAATGCTTGTGATGTAGGATGAAGTTAGGTTGAAGGATGCTTGAGGAATCCCATCTCTGGAAGGGATGGGAGTTCTTCCTTCTCCTAGCTACTTGCAGTTAACATCATCATCATCATTTATTGTTTATACCCCGCCCATCTGGCTGGGTTTCCCCCGCCACTCTGGGTGGCTTTCGGCAAAATATTAAAATAAAACAATTCATCAAATATTAAAAGCTTCCCTAAACAGGGCTGCCTTCAGATGTCTTCTAAAAGTCAGATAGTTGTTTATTTCTTTGACATCTGGTGGGAGGGCATTCCACAGGGCGGGTGCCACTACTGAGAAGGCCCTTTGCCTGGTTCCTTGTAACTTTAATTCTCACAGTGAGGGAACCGCCAGAAGGCCCTCGGAGCTGGACCTCAATATCCGGGCAAATGATGGAGGTGGAGATGCTCTTTCAGGTATACTGGGCTGAGGCCGTTTAGGGCTTTAAAGGTCAGCACCAACACTTTGAATTGTGCTTGGAAACGTACTGGGAGCCAATGTAGGTCTTTCAGGACCGGTGTTATGTGGTCTCGGTGGCCACTCCCAGTCACCAGTCTAGCTGCTGCATTCTGGATTAGTTGTAGTTTCCAGGTCACCTTCAAAGGTAGCCCAATGTACAGCGCATTGCAGTAGTCTAAGTGGGAGATAACCAGAGCATGGACCACTCTGGTGAGGCAGTCTGCGGGCAGGCAGGGTCTCAGCCTGCGTACCAATTCTAGCCATTGGCGGTTGTCCCAAGGCAATGACGAATGAGCAAAGAAGCAATCAGGGAGAAATCAATTTATTTCTTTACTTACATTTGATTTACTTACACTTGATTTGTAGTACCATAGAATCTTAGTGTTGGAAGGGACTACATGGGTCATCGATGGCAGGCATGTGAGGAAAGGTTGGGATTGGTGGGGGCAGTGCCCCATTTGTGGTAATGGACCTGATTCCAGCGGCCACATCTTCCTCACAGGCACAGGCAGAAATTTGGATCCAAGACTTACATTTATTATTATTATTACTATTCTGTTTGGAAGCTCCCCACCCTGATAGGCTTATCTGAAAAACGAGATCTAGCATTTACAGTGGGGGAGAGAACCTGGGCTCATGAAAATTTAAAGTCACGTTTCAAGACGGTGTTTTATGTCCGGATGCCTTTAAATTCCTTCAGTAATGTTAAATGAAGTGCTTTGAAGGTGGCTAACTCTTCCTCTGACAAAAAAAGGAGGCAAACTCTTTGAAGAGGCACCTGCAGCAAAGCGAGGTGTGTTAAAAGCGAGCGCACCTGATGTAAACTCTTTGAAAGGAGCTCCCCTCAGCAATGGGGAGAGTGTACGAGAGCAACACTTTCCCCCCAGAGATGCTGAGTCCTTGATGGGAGAGGCTAATTTACTGATGAGATCTTGTTAAAGAGAAGAGGAGATCTCAGCTGTTAAAAGTCGGGAGAAGTTTAGCCCCTTTTAAGTTTGGAATTTTGATGTGTGTGTGTGTGTGTATATATATATATATATATAGCCACAGAGAGTGTTCTTATAATCACAGGAAGCATTTATTTACTTAACATGCTATATCTGTATCAGAAGAGGCGTGCAAATGTGGCAGAGCATTGCCACGGGTTGTCAAGAATGGCAGAGGATGGGGAGGTTTGTGTGGTGCAAACACATCACCAGGGCTAATGCATTCAGGACTTTGGGGTTCACAGAAATGGTGTGTAAGAGGTGACATGATCACAGAAAAATAGAATTGTAGAGTTGGAAGAGAACACAAGGGTCCAACCCCCTGCAATGTAGGAATCTTTTGACCCAAATGGGGCTCAAACCCATGACCCTGAGATGAAGTCTCATGCTCTACTGACTGAGCTACCAAGACATGCACAAAATAGGAGGTTTTAATAAACCTATGCAAGGCATGCAGAAACATTTATAAGACTGGACCTCCCTAACGATTTCAGATCCCTAGTTTAAAACCATCCTTCTGGAAGATGACCTCCCATTATTTGCAGGGGCTAGCCTAAGTGTGCCAACAAAGGTCCGTCTAGTTAAAGCTATGGTTTTCCCAGTAGTGATGTATGGAAGTGAGAACTGGACCATAAAGAAGGCTGATCGCCGAAGAATGGATGCTTTTGAATTATGGTGCTGGAGGAGACTCTTGAGAGTCCCATGGACTGCAAGAAGATCAAACCTATCCATTCTGAAGGAAATCAGCCCTGAGTGCTCACTGGAAGGACAGATCCTGAAGCTGAGGCTCCAATACTTTGGCCACCTCATGAGAAGAGAAGACTCCCTGGAAAAGACCCTGATGTTGGGAAAGATGGAGGACACAAGGAGAAGGGGACGACAGAGGACGAGATGGTTGGACAGTGTTCTTGAAGCTACCAACATGAGTTTGACCAAACTGCGGGAGGCAGTGGAAGACAGGAGTGCCTGGTGTGCTCTGGTCCATGGGGTCACGAAGAGTTGGACACAACTAAACGACTAAACAACAACAAAGCCTAATTGTACACAAGTATAATGTGTCATCATATTAGTTCCCACTGAGTGTGTCTGACTCTGAAAAAACTTGCAACCACGAGGAGCTAGCAGAATATTGCACGGGTGAAATATCTTTCATTACAATAACTGTTGGCTGCAAAACAGGTCACCTTGCCCTAGGTGGTCATGATTTGAAACTGTAGAACATTTTGAGGAGCACTTCCACTCTTTGTCTAGTTAATAGTTTTGCAGATCTGTGTCAATAACTGTGTCATGTTGCCAGCTGACATTGTAATTCCAACACTGTAACTTAGGATGTTAGCGTATGGCAATTCTATTATGCTTTCCTCCCTTCTGTAGTTTCAGATTTGAGCTTTCCAAAAACAATTTAGATCACAACTTCCATTGCAGACTTAGGAACTTACACTGAAGGTAAGCCCCATTTAATTGAACAGGATTTACTTCTGAATAGATGTGGTTAGGATTAAATATAGCAGAACATCAGGATGAACACACCTGTCAGTTATGGTTTCTCTCTGTCTTTCATTCCTCCAATCTTTAATAATAATAATAAAAATAATATTTATACCCCACCCATCTGGCTGGGTTTCCCAACAGAATATTAAAAACATGATAAAACTTCAAACATTTAAAACTTCCCTGTCTGATTTCCCTGTAACCAGATTTCCCTGTAACTCTTTTCACCAGAGTTTGTTGATGGTACCAAGACTGAATCTATGCCTAGTGTGACCCCTGAATTATGAGCTCAGGACCCATCATATGTTCAAGTCCAGATGAATCTAAAGAAGATATTTGTAAGAAGTATTAAATCAGTCAGTTCCCACTAACTTTAAAATATGAAGTCCAAATGAGGGGGTCTTCAAATTTAAATTTGCAAATTGAGTTTCACTGTTTTCTTAAAGCAGAGAAGGACACAGGATTGGTTGGTATTTGAATTCTTTCTCTTTGAATAAAAAAAGTGAAGTACCAAAGCAATTGTATTTTAAACTGAAATTCAGATTTTGAGAAGCTTCATCCATTAGGAAGAAGGAAACATTCAACAATGTGCCCTGTACCTACTTACCTGTCAGACAAAACAAGACATTTGGTTGGCCTGTGTCTTGCATGGCTTTCCAGCACAGCACATTGCAAAAAGAGGGGGAAATTATCCCTGGAGATTAATTGTGCAATTCTTTTTTTCTTTCTTTTTAATGAGAAGACTAATACTTAGGATTGCTCAGAGTTCAAAATTAAGCAGATGTCCACTGTTAAGGTTGTGAGCAGCAATCTATTTGAAAAGCAATGAATATTTTTTCTTGCTATCCTAAATAAACAGATGTCCCTCCTAATCTCCATTCATTTTGCTTGCTGTCTTATCTATGACCTTTCTTTTGAAGGTATTCATGGGAGAGAATGGCTGTATTTATCTACCTGCTGTGCTTCCATCTGTCTAGGCTGCAGACGAAGATGCACAAATTATATTTCCTTTGTGAAACATTGAGTGACAGCCGCATTTGCTAAGGCTTTTTATGCACAGAACGATCAGACATTATCTCTTTGGTATTGGAACAAAGTACGACGCTCCCCCCCACTCACATCTGGACAGTTTATCCAGCAACAGCTGCTAGCAGAATATGTATTTCAAAACTCTGAAATTCTGCTTATATACTCACACTGTGGGAGGTCTCTATCTGGGATGGTGGTCTAACCCCATTAGCACACACCTTTCAATTGTCAGATGAAGCACTGGGTGTCTGCTCACCAGGGTCCTAATTCTGTGCCTTCATATAGGTGGTAGAGAACAAGCAGAATCCTTACTGGAGTGCAACTATCAGCTTATTAAACAATTTTGCTATCTGCCTGTGTTGTAGTGCAGGTCCTGCCCGGGACTCTACCCTATAGCACTCAACTGTTCCGATTGAAGCGGGACACCCCGAAAATACAGAAGCCATTTCTGGCTTCATACTGGGTCCTAGAACGTCCCATTTTTTGGTCTGGCATTCTGGCACAAGTCAGCCGGCTTGTGCCAAAGCACAGGACCAAAAGGCGCTTGGGGTTTTTTGTCTCACGCCACTTGGCTTGCACCATAGCATCAAACCAAAAGGCACACATTTTTGGGTTTTGTGCTTTGGCACTAGTCAGCTAGTGTCAAGGCTCTGTCAAGGCTTCGGGAAAGCTATTCCTCCCCTGGTCGCAGCAGGAACAGAGAAAACAAAGAGAGTCCTTTTTAATAAGTTTTATTCATTCCTAATAACGAGTGACAAAGGAACGCAACAAACCGTAATAATGGCATTGCTCCAAACTGGGCTCCTCTTCCCCCCTTCATAGCAACCTCAGCTTCCCTTACGGTGGCCGCTCATGGTCAAATGTCTCTGATTCTGCTGTTCCTGCACTCTCAATGAAATTTGCGTTCTGGGAGAAGGGGGATCAGAAATGCTCTCCAGTGAAGTCCGTTCTTAAACCGAAACTGTTCTTAAACCGAGGCACCCTTTCCCTAATGAGGCCTCCTGCCACCGGTGCCCTTCCACCATTCGGATTCTGTTCTTAGACCGAGGTAAGGTTCACTAACCCGGACACTACTTCCGGTTTTGTGGAGTTTGTAAACCAAATCATTTGTAAACAGGGCTGTTCTTAAACTGAGGTACCACTGTACAGTGGTACTTCAGGTTACATATGCTTCAGGTTACATACGCTTCAGGTTACAGACTCCGCTAACCCAGAAATAGTGCTTCAGGTTAAGAACTTTGCTTCAGGATGAGAACAGAAATTGTGCTCTAGCGGCGCGGCGGCAGCAGGAGGCCCCATTAGCTAAAGTGGTGCTTCAGGTTAAGAACAGTTTCAGGTTAAGAACAGACCTTCGGAACGAATTAAGTACTTAACCCGAGGTATCACTGTATAACCATTTCACCATTTAATGGTCTATGGAGTCTTCTGTGTGCTCCGGCAATGTATAGTTCTTCTTTGTCATATTTGTCAAAGTAGCTGAAGAAGCCATATCTAGGGTTTTCTATTCCATCCTCAGAAAAAACTTGTGGCCCAGGTCACCTAGGCTGCAATCCTGACTTAGTTTCGAGGGAGTAAGCCCTCAAAGATATTTGGGGTTTTTTTTAATATAAGTGCATAGAATTGGGCTGTTAACCTGCTTGCCCAAATCACTCAGACTCTGGTACAACTCAAATGCTCTAAACCAAGATGCCTTGCACTTGCAGAAGCAATCTCAAACCCATGTATGTCATGTAAGAAGAGCACTGACTCTATGGGAATTTAATTTTGTTGCTGGGGAGGGGGGAACTACTCAGATTTAAATGCAGATCGCATTTCCAGATAATGCAGCTGATGGAGAAAATATACAAAAGCACTTGAAGGGGGAAGAAGCCATCATTCAGGGGGAAAGTCTCTACCAATTATATCTCCACTGATGAGAATGGAGGAAGAAATACCAAAGCGTTGTACAGCGCAAGTTATTCCTCTGATATTCCTACCAAGACATCGACATGCATAAGTGCAAATTCCTCATCAGCTCCAAGAACTAAAATATACAAAACAAGTCATTCAGAATCACACAAGTTCAAGGCTGCGTACCAGGAATCCAAGTTATAGTGTGTTATTAAATCAGTCGGTGGAATTCAACATGATGTTATGTTGAACACTCCATCTGTGTAAGCATATCAGCTTGCCAGATGGGACTCTCCCCACCCCCAACATGCTATTCTTGGGGTTCTACCATCCATGAACCAATATGGGGCTGTGCAGTGGTCATGCAGGGGAAGTAGAGTGGGAGAAGCCCTGATCCTCAAGCAGAAGCCTTTGTGTAGGGTTGCCACTGGCAGGGGGTATGATAGTTGAATACCACCCAGTGAATCACTGTCACAAACATCCATCATTGCCTTACCCTCCCTAAACCTGTGATTATGTATGAATGGCAGCTGTTCATATTCTACCCAGCTTCTTTCTTCCAAAGAGGGTCCCACCAGGGAAGAAAGATTATCAGCCGGAATCATGAGTGTGATCCATTTGCTCTGATCAAAGCACTGGTTGTTGTTGTTGTATAGATAGACTTTTTTCTGGGATTGGGAGAGGGATAACCGACAATATAGCAACCTCTTTGGTTTTTCAGTCTCAGTTCTTACCAGAAGAGATCTAATTGATAAAGACTTCTCCCTGAATGCTGATTTCCTTTCCCTTAAAGTGCGTGTATGTTTTCTTTATCAGCTGAATTACTTGGAAATGTGAGCAGTCTCTAAAGTTGGAGATTTCCCGGCAGATGTGAAGCTGTTGTGGTTAAAAAAAAAAAAGCCTGAGCTGAAGCAAGTATTATCTACAAATATTCAAAAACAGTTCAAATCTGCTGTTTTTGGCATTCAGATCTCAAATATGATATTTAGGCGTTTTTTGAATGTGACAGTGTACCTCAACATTTAAATTCAAGTGTTTCACACAACCAGCATTTATCCTGTCTGTATCAGTTTTGGCAGGCATCAGATACAAAATTTCACAAAATACCATCACCTGAACCATAAAAATATATAAACATGTTTTAAAAAGCAATGCTGCATGCTGGCTATCGAAAATGAAGTATTATAAGCTACCCGACACAAATACCCGATGATGCAATGTGTAGATTATCAAATAATATCAATTATCAGTCATAAAATATTAAGGAAATGTCTGAAATTTCATGATCAGAGTTTTTGCTGTTTGGGGTGAAAGTTAGAGAGCCAGCTCTTTCCTCCATCTTCCTTCCAAATTCCTTAGTCCTTCCCCAGTTTTCCCCTTTCTTAAATTCCTGGCTGCTGCTTAAAAAAACCAGAGTTTACATGTTCTGCCCTGAAGAGTCTCTGGTTGAGTTCTTCCTCTTCTCCAATGTCCATCGCTTCCTCCTTCCATGATGTCCTCCTTCACTCCTCATCTCCCTTCCCCACTTGACATCTTCACTGCTGTTTTGGCCCCTGTGTTCTTTTGCTGACGTTGAGAGAAGCAGGCATCGAGATGTGGCCCAAGGAAGAACATAACAAGAACCCTGATGGATCAAGCCAATGGCCCATCTGTTTTGGGTCGTTGCTTGCAGAGTGGCCAACCAGATGCTCATGGGAAGCCCTTCAAGCAGGATGGGAGTACATTAGCCAACTGCAGTTCCCAGCAAGTGATAATCAGAATCATACTACATCTGACAGTAGAGAGAAAACATAGGCATTGTGGCAGGTAGTCAATAACATCCTCCGTGAATTTGTCCGATCCTACTTTAAAGGAATGGGACGCGGGTGGCGCTGTGGGTTTAACCACAGAGCCTAGAGCTTGCTGATCAGAAGGTCGGCGGTTCAACGGGGTGAGCTCCCGTTGCTCGGTCCCTGCTCCTGCCAACCTAGCAGTTCGAAAGCACGTCAAAGTGCAAGTAGATAAATAGGTACCACTACCACGGGAAGGTAAACAGCGTTTCCGTGTGCTGCTCTAGTTTGCCAGAAGTGGCTTAGTCATGCTGGCCACATGACCCGGAAGCTGTACACCGGCTCCCTCGGCCAGTAAAGCGAGATGAGCGCCGCAACCCCAGAGTCGGTCACGACTGGACCTAATGGTCAGGGGTCCCTTTACCTTTACCTTACTTTAAATATGGGCAGCAGTGAGGTATCAAGGAGGCAAAACAGGGGTGGAGAAATGTAGAGGTAAGCAGGGAATGACCCCTCCATCCCTCAGGTTTGGGGGTGTGCAGGGAGTATATCAAAATAATGTTCTCCACTCTCAAAGGTACTTCCCAGCTCGCAGAAGCAGAGGGTTTTTCAAAAAATGCTTCTGCCCCATCCCCAACTAGGAACCAGCATCAGAAGGAAGGTAGGAAGCAATATGCTGTCCACTGACCCTAGTTGCAGCTGTAGCTGAAGCATCCAGTACCAGAATCAATGATGTGACATGGGATCAGATTCAGCTTATACAGTCAAATGATGTGAAGAGAGTGCTTGTGGCTGGTTGGGTTCAGAATGTGGCTAACACTTCATTGTTAGCTATTTGTGATAGAAATAGATGCCTTACATAAGACTTGAAGCCGATGGAAGGCACTCCGGGCCACTGAGGCCACCTGAGCCTCGAGCGACAGCAAAGGATCCAGGAGGATCCCCAAGCTATAAGCTTCCTTTAGGGGAAGTGTAACCCCATCAGGAACAGGAGATCTCCCACCAATCCGGTCTATGGAACCACCCACTAACAGTGCCTCATTCTTATCGGGATTGAGTTTGTTTGGTGGCTCTCATTCAGTCCATGACCAAGGCAAGACACTGGTCCAGCACTTCCACTGCCTCACCTGCAGACACAAAGGAGAAATAGAGCTGAGTGTCATCAGCATACTCCAAAACCTCCGGATAACCCCACCCAGCAGTTCCATGTAGCTGTTAAACAATGTAGGGGATAGGAATGAGTCCTGCAGAACCCCACATTGAAGGCTCCATGGGGCTGAAAAGCATTCCCCAAGCAACACCTTCTGGGAACAATCATCCAAGTAGCACTGGAAATACTGCAAAGTGGTGCTACCCAGTGGCGTAGCGTGGGGGTGCAGGGGGGGCCAGGCGCACCGGGCGCAACATCGGGGGGGGGTGCGCTCGCACTCGCAGCTCTCTGCCCCTACCTGGCTCACTCACTCTCTCTCACTGCAGTGCTGGCTGTGCGAATCCGATCCAAGCCGCTGGGTCGCCGCCCACTGTGGAGGGGGGTGGGTGCCAGGCGTGCGGTGCGGAGAGAGAGTGAGGGACTATCTGGGGGAGGGACAGTGCAGCGGCCGCCCAGCGCAGCGCTGAGCGCGGGAGAGAACCACACCAGACCAGCCCAAGCAGCAGCAAGAAGAAGCTGGCAGCGGCGGCAGGTTAGGGGTTAGGGGGCGCAAATTACTTGCCTTGCCCCGGGTGCTGACAACCCACGCTACGCCGCTGGTGCCACCCATCCCTAGTTTGGACAGACATTTCAGAAGGATACCATCGTTGATGGTATCGAAAGCCGCTGAGAGGTTGAGAAGAATTACCAGGGATATATATCCCTTGTCTCTCTCTCAGCAGAGATCATCATACAGGGCGACCAAAGCAGTTTCTGTGCCAAAACTGTGCTGAAACTCCGGTTGAAATGGATCCAGAAAATCAGTTTCTTCCAAAAGAGTTGGGGAGTTGGGGGCAAATTGCCGCCAGTATGCCAATAATATCCAGCTGTTTCTTTACATTCAGCTGTTTCTCTACCCAGACATGTAGAAAGTTGACGTCTGTCAATCTATTTTTTTAGCCCAATTTTAATTTTTAAAAATGTTTTAAACAGGTGTGTTTTCTTACGGATAATTTTATTACTTTATTCTTTTTGTAAACCGCATTGAGGATTCATTATACTCAAGAAGTATATAAATCTTACAAAATGAACAAAGCAGGAATTCATAGCAGAGATGAAATTAATGGGATTCTCTCCACTCAATAACAACATACATTCTTAAAATGGGAGTTATGCAATTGTTAAAACTGATCGGCAATGACAAGGCCCCTGAACCAAGCATTCATAACAATCAGCTTGTTAATAAAAGTCTCCATTATTGAGCTCATGTCCCATTTACTTGTTACAGAAGAAAATTAAGGACTCAATTAACATTAAATCCAAAATATGGTTAAGCGTTTGTTTCAAAAACACATTTAAATCATGGATGGGTATATCTCTCGGTTGTGCTCTTGCACAGTTCTTATTAATCTTGAGGGAGCTGGAGTAGGATAACTTTTGAGGGGTTTCTTGTGAACTGAGTTCAAGGTGGTGGGACAATGCTTTCTCAAACTTTATATAAGATTCTTAAACAGTACTGTTCTAACATCTAGCACTCTTTGGATGGGTAAGAACACTTCTTATGAAAGAATTGCCTGATTTAATAGGAGTTCAGAGCTCTTATAAAAGAACACCCCAATAATTGCAGAGCCGTTATTGGTGGTGCATTGAGCAAGCAGGGCAAGTAATGTTCAGCCTTTTTCACCTGCACAAAATTACAGTTAGCCAGAAATAAAATAGTTTGACAAATCAAAGTTTATGTGGCATTTAAAAAGTTCAAAGCAAAATAAATACCAGTTTCTTATAAAATCCACCTTATGATGTTTGGTCGAGTTTAGTCAGTCCCACATATCCTGCCTTGTTCAGTTTCTTAATGGTGTGTGCATTGGCTGGCTGAAACAGAAGGTATTTGGAGGCTACGATATTTTGGTTTGAAAAAGCAGCCCAAATGTGTGGGGGAAGGCTTTGCAAGCAAAGGGGCAAAGATACTGTCAATTCCCGCCCGCCCCCCTTGGCAGTGGAGATAATCAGAGAATTATAACTAATTACACTGAATTGGTTGTTCTTAATCATTTCATAGAATCATAGAATCATAGAGTTGGAAGAGACCACAAGGGCCATCGAGTCCAACCCCCTGCCAAGCAGGAAACACCATCAGAGCACTCCTGACATATGGTTGTCAAGCCTCTGCTTAAAGACCTCCAAAGAAGGAGACTCCACCACACTCCTTGGCAGCAAATCCCACTGTCGAACAGCTCTTACTGTCAGGAAGTTCTTCCTAATGTTTAGGTGGAATCTTCTTTCTTGTAGTTTGGATCCATTGCTCCGTGTCTGCTTCTCTGGAGCAGCAGAAAACAACCTTTCTCCCTCCTCTATGTGACATCCTTTTATATATTTGAACATGGCTATCATATCACCCCTTAACCTCCTCTTCTCCAGGCTAAACATGCCCAGCTCCCTTAGCCGTTCCTCATAAGGCATCGTTTCCAGGCCTTTGACCATTTTGGTTGCCCTCCTGCCTTTGACCATTTTGGTTGCCCTCCTCTGGACACGTTCCAGTTTGTCAGTGTCCTTCTTGAACTGTGGTGCCCAGAACTGGACAAAGTACTCCAGGTGAGGTCTGACCAGAGCAGAATACAGTGGCACTATTACTTCCCTTGATCTAGATGCTATACTCCTATTGATGCAGCCCAGAATTGCATTGGCTTTTTAGCTGCTGCGTCACACTGTTGGCTCATGGCAAGTTTGTGGTCAACCAAGACTCCTAGATCCTTTTCACATGTACTGCTCTCAAGCCAGGTGTCACCCATCTTGTATTTGTGCCTCTCATTTTTTTTGCCCAAGTACATTTCTCCCTGTTAAAATTCATCTTGTTTTGGCCCAGTTCTCTAATCTGTCAAGGTCGTTTTGAAAGAAGTCCAGGGGTTAATTCAATGGTGTAAAGAAAACAATCTTATGCTTAACACCAAAAAACCCAAAGAACTCATAATTGACTTTAGGAGAAAGAAAAGCGTATTTTTACCATTGCACATAAATGGCGAGGAGGTGGAGAGGGTTGGTAGTTTTAAATACCTGGGCACTTACATCTCTGAGGACCTCTCATGGACTGTAAATATTAATATGGTTGTGAGGAAGGTGCAGGGGAGGTTGTATTTCCTGAGAATGCTCAGGGGACTGAATCTATCTCAGCACCTACTTCTGTCCTATTATCACAGTACCATCGAGAGTGTCTTAACATATAGTATATTATCGTGGTATGGGAGCAGCTCTGAAACGGATAGAAAAGCTTTACAGAGAATAATTAAAATTGCCCAGAATGTTATTGGGCTCCAACTACCAACCCTGGATGAGATCTTCACGTCTCGCACTTTGAAGAAGTCACACAATATCCTGAGAGATCCCACCCATCCTGCTAAGTGTGATCCTGTCCTCTGGGGTGTTAGCCACCCCTCCCAGTTTGGTGTCATCTGCAAATTTGATCAGGATGCCCTTGAGTCCATCATCCAAGTCGTTGCTAAAGATGTTGAATAAGACCGGGCCCAAGACGTTTCATAATAAGGGCTTTCAGAAAGCTCATTTATTAAGCTCAGCTGCACTGAATAGGATGCTGTGCACATTTACTGCTAAGGTTCATGGGGAAATAAGAAATGGCAGCCAGCTAGTATGCCCTTAACTGCCCCATTGAAAAACCAGAAGGTCTTAAATATGCTTAGCTTGGGCTACGTCTTGTTCAAAGTAATGCATTTCCTTAAAAAATAAAACCCCCAAAGCAATCTCAGAATCCTGGTTTAGGTAGAGTAGAGATTACCGAGAACCAATTTTGGCCAATATGATCATCCATGAAAACAACATGGGAACTATTTTAAACTTATGTGTGATGAATGATTCAGAAAGGAAAGGAATAACATATTATGGCGAGGCATACAAAAAAACTGGGCCTGTTTTATTTATTTTAAGGTGCTGTAAGGCTCTTTTAAAGTCTAATTCTCTTTTGCAAGTACACCCTGGAATCATGAGACATGTCACAAGGATCAGGTGGTCTAGGGCCACAACCTCCTAATTTAACACACAACAGGATCAGCAAATGATAAGAACATAAGGAAAGCCAGCTGGATGACGCCAAGTCTAGCATCCTGTCCCCACATTGGCCAACCTAGTGGAAAGCTGGCAAGCAGGAGCCAAACACAAGAGCACTCACCCCTCTTCCATTTCCAGCAACTGATATTCAAAAGCATTACTGCCTTTGAATGCTCATCAAATCCCAACCTATTGAAATCCTTCCCTTTCCCACTGAGACCAGCCCTAATCCTATTAAACACAGGTTGTCTTGGCATTGTTTGCCTTTAACAGGCTCCTTCCCAACTAGATCATACAGTGGTACCTCGGGTTAAGTACTTAATTCGTTCCAGAGGTCCGTTCTTAACCTGAAACTGTTCTTAACCTGAAGCACCACTTTAGCTTATGGGGCCTCCTGCTGCCGCTGCGCTGCCATAGCACGATTTCTGTTCTCATCCTGAAGCAAAGTTCTTAACCCAAGGTAATGTTTCTGGGTTAGCAGAGTCTGTAACCTGAAGCATATGTAACCCAAGGTACCACTGTACATGACAGATGGCCATCCAACCTCTGCTTAAAAACCCCAAAGGAAAAAGAGTCCACCACCTCTTGTGGGAGGTCTGCTCCACTGTCAAACGGCTCTTACTATCAGAAAGTTCTTCCTGATGTTTACTCAGAATCTCCTTGTAACTTGGACCCATTGGTTTGGGTCCTAGCATCTAGAGCAGGAGAAAACAAGCTTGCTCCATCTGACAGCCCTTTAGATATTTGAAGATGAGTATCGTATCGCCTCTCAGTCTCCTCTTTACCAGGCTTTGTTGTTGTTATTTAGTTGTTTAGTCGTGTCCGACTCTTTGTGACCCCATGGACCAGAGTATGCCAGGCACTTCTGTCCTCCACTGCCTCCCGCAGTTTGGTCAAACTCATGCTGGTAGCTTCGAGAACACTGTCCAACCATCTCGTCCTCTGTCGTCCCCTTCTCCTTGGGCCCTCCATCTTTCCCAACATCAGGGTCTTTTCCAGGGAGTCTTCTCTTCTCATGAGGTGGCCAAAGTATTGGAGTCTCAGCTTCAGGGTCTGTCCTTCCAGTGAGCACTCAGGACTGATTTCCTTCAGAATGGAGAGGTTTGATCTTCTTGCAGTCCATGGGACTCTCAAGAGTCTCCCCCAGCACCATAATTCAAAAGCATCAATTCTTCGGGGATCAGCCTTCTTTATGATCCAGCTCTCACTTCCATACATCACTACTGGGAAAACCATAGCTTTAACTATACGGACCTTTGTTGGCAAGGTGATGTCTCTTTTTTTTAGGATGCTGTCAAGGTTTGGCATTGCTTTTTTCCCAAGAAGCAGGCGTCTTTTAATTCTGTGACTGCTGTCACCATCTGCAGTGATCATGGAGCCCAAGAAAGTAAAATCTCTCACTGCCTCAATTTCTTCCCCTTCTATTCGCCAGGAGGTGATGGGACCAGTCCTAGCATCTAGAGCAGGAGAAAACAAGCTTGCTCCATCTGACAGCCCTTTAGATATTTGAAGATGACTATCACATCTCCTCTAAGTCTCCTCTTTACCAGGCTAAACACATCCAATTCACTCAACCATTCCCCCACAAGGCTTGGTTTCCAGTTGGCTTTAAATTGCAATTATTAATCATTTTTCCATTGAGGAACATGGCACAAGTATAACACCGTTCACACAGAAGAAACCAACAGTATGATCTTTTTCATCTTTCATGGATGAAGGTTTAGATCTTCCACTGGTGCAAGTGAGGTGAAGTTTTGTTTCATACATCCAGGATATTGCTCTTTGATGTATCCAGACACACCACATTCTCTGAGGCCCTCTGTTTTATATCAAAAGACATAGTTCTTGAAGTCAGTTTGCCTTTTGCCAGTTTACAGATGAGTTTACATATGCGATGCAATAACAGGAGTACCCAGGTTTCTAAAGAAGAACTAGGAAAAGCTGAGGGGGGGGGCTCTATAGACACACAAACACACACACACACACACACACACACACACACACGAACTTCCGGTGTGTACTGACTTTCTGGATCAAACTGAGAATCATCCCTTTACATCCTGAATATATCAAAGACTAAAACATGAAGACTAAAGTTGTTTGTGAGATCATTCTGACTGAGACTTGGAAGAGAGAGAGAGAGAGAGAGAGAGGACGGGGTGGAATCAAAGAGAATATGTTAAGTCTCTTTGCAGATTAAATCATTACAAGAGAAACAACATGAAAGGCCTGATTTCTGAGGAAAGTTCTGAACTGTGCAGGAAATTAGTCATGGCCTCTGCAAATGAGGTGTTTTATCCCATTTTATATCAAATTATGAGTGCTAAACTTTGGCCAGCTACCAGAGCAAATGGACTGAGCCAAAGCAACAGAGACACAATGGTGGCCCAAGTCTACTCAATTAAGCCAGGGATGTTGCAAGTGAGCTAGATAGGCACTTCTTCATTTGGCTGCTGTTGAGGTTAATAGCGGGTTTTAAAACTAGCTTGATGGGAAGAGGTCTTGAGATTTAAAAGCAGTGGAAATGTGTTTGAGAAAATGGGTGGAAAGAAATGCTCCCAAATTCAAAACCAGATCAGAGGGAAGTAGAGGATGGGGATACCAGGTAAGCAGTAGCAACTTAGAAGGAGATGTAGGAGTTAAAACATATTAAAATGGCATTAGGTGTGAGGTTGTGACTCAGAAGACCAGTCAAGTTTCAGCCTGTTGGATAAAGAACTATATAACTTTTAGAAGACATCTGAAGGCAGACCTGTATTTTAATGCTTGACATTTTATTATGTTTTAATATGTGCTGGAAGCTGCCCAGAGTTGGCGGGATATAGATGATGTTGATGATGAGGATGATGATGATTAAACTGAAGAGCTGGGACCTGTAAGCGGGGGTTATGCTTTGACAGCGCAGAATTATCACCATTGCCATTTTACTTTTATTTCTTCAGAGGTTTTTGTTTAACCATGGAAAAGAGAAGAAAAAAAGAGGGGGGATTATAAGAGAAAGAGATGGGGCGGGGTGAGATAAACATATGACAAAAAATTAAAATAGACTTATTTGTTGCAGTTTGGGGGTAAAGATGGGTCTTAGATAGGGGTGTAAGAGGGCATCATTTTCTGATCCACACACAACTCTGTTTCTGCCCTGCTGCAGTTCATCCCCTGCCAAAATCTTTGCTACTCACCCCACTGTCTGCTGTAGCAAAAGGTCGCTTAATTCATTTTGCAAATTGTCAGTCTGTTGTCACACCCCATTCATTTCAATGCAAAGCAAATTCAAAGCAAATGGGTAAATTCAGCATCTTGCAAAATATGAAATTATCCAAACAGATTAATCTCCACAGCTTGCATTCCACCCTCCAGGCTGTTTACTCTTCCTTCCGGAGAGCTTCATTTTACATCTACACTCCATGAAGTTTGGGAGACAAAGACTCAAAGGCAACTCACTTCAAAATGGAGATTTGCAACCTAATCCCTCTCACATGATCTAAAGTTACAACACTCCCAGGTTTGCTACCAGAGAAACAGCATAATCGTTAATTTAGCAAGAGCTCAAAGTGTTCTCCTTGGAATTCAAATAGCCCCATGGAAAAAAATGCCACATTAAACCTTCTGCAATTTACCTTTAGCCATTTTTCATTTCCATTATATTTCAAACATGTACAAAAACAAAATATAGTACTATCAGTCCAAATTAGTTCATGCATGTGTTTTCAAATCAATTCCCAATAATCAGAGAGAGCAATTCTTCCAGGCTTTCTGTTTGTGATGCCTTCTGAGCAATTCTTAATTCTTTCCCAGCTGAGCCTGCTTGCTTTTATTCTGCCCTGACTGTGGGGGACATGTAAAGGAAAGCTCATGTGGATGGTGTGTGCGCGCTACATTAGCTCAGGGAGAATGTGCTCCTTTTTTAGCCTGGTGGTAAACAAGGTTCATAAACAGAATCAGCCTAAGTGGGGAAGTGAACCTAGCTGCGATATTCTGAATTTGACAGATGAGAAAAGAATAGATATTTTGCTCATCTTCTGCCCCCCACTCTCTCCTGATTCAGAACTAGTTTCTGCATCTGCTGTCGAAACTCCCCAGAGTCCCTGCAGCAACTGTCAAAGAATGAAGGATTTTCACTGAGCGGAGTCCATCTTTCTGAAGCGATTACACTAGCTGCTGGTTAAGTCTTCTCAAAGAATAAATTTCAAAGCCGAAATGGGGCAGACTCACTCTCTCTCTCTCTCTCTCTCCCTCACACACACACACACACCCTCCCTGGAAGATACAGAAGTCTTCCATGTAAATAGAGCATGCCAAGGGGAAATATAAGCCACTGTCTTCCTTAGTGCATTTTTTATTTAATTTAATTAGTGCATGAGTTGTTGGCATTGAAAACATCAGGAAGTGAACTGGGTGAGTTGATTCCCAAGGTCCAGGGAATGTCTATTATGCAATCTCCCTGGAGAATGCACCAGGCATGCTGGAGAATCCCTGATGAGGGCAGCAATTCCCATTGTGGCTGAAGAAACTGTAGGAGATAATATGTTCTGGAAGTTCTGGGTAGAATCCAACACCCTGGAGCAGATTTTGTTTTTGTTGTTTTTTTCCAGTTTTTTTTATTAATTTTCCAAAAAAGTAAACAAACAAACAAACAAACAGACAGACAGACAGACAAACATAAATCTGTACAGTATTTAAACCGATCTTAGTAACATTGTTAAGTTACTTCCTCGAATCCCCCTAATTGAATTTCAGTGTATATCATTTTAACAGTTTTCCAACACCATTTTTCTCATAAAATTAACTTAATCACTTAACATCTTTCTTACTTTCTATTTTAGCATTAAACATAAGGTAAAGGTAAAGGGACCCCTGACCATTAGGTCCAGTCGTGGCCGACTCTGGGGTTGCGGTGCTCATCTCGCTTTATTGGCCGAGGGAGCCGGCGTACAGTTTCCGGGTCATGCGGCCAGCATAACTAAGCCGCTTCTGGCGAACCAGAGCAGCGCACGGAAACGCCGTTTACCTTCCCGCCGGAGCGGTACCTATTTATCTACTTGCACTTTGATGTGCTTTCGAACTGCTAGGTTGGCAGGAGCAGGGACCGAGCAACAGGAGCTCACCTTGTCACGGGGATTCGAACTGCCAACCTTCTGATCAGCAAGTCCTAGGCTCTGTGGTTTAACCCACAGCGCCACCCGCGTCCCGCATTAAACATATTAGTTCCTAAAATTACATAATTAAATACTAAGCCTATCTGATATTTGCAAGCTTTTCCAATTATATTATTTTAACATACTTAACTAAATATTCTTTAAATTTAATCCATTCCTCCTGGTACTCCTCCTCCTTCTGGTCACGGACTCTTCCTGTCAGGTCAGCTAGCTCCAAAAAGTCCATCATCTTCATTTGCCATTCCTCCACTGTTGGGACTTCTTGTGTTTTCCAATTCTTAGCTAATAAAATTCTTGCTGCAGTTGTGGCATACAAAAACAATTTAACATCTTTCTTGGGCAATTCCAAACCTGTTATTCCCAGAAGAAAGGCCTCTGGTTTCTTAATAAATGTATATTTCAAAAAAAAAAATTCAATTCATTATAAATCTTCTCCCAGAAGTCTTTCACCCCAGGGCAGGTCCACCACATATGATAAAAAGTACCCTTCTTTTCTTTACATTTCCAACATGAGTTATCACTGTTGTGGTAAATCTAATTTTACAGGTGTCAAATACCATCCATACCACCCTGGAGCAGATTTTGAAGGTGCACAGAGGGCTTCAGGGAGGAGGTTCAGAAGAGATGATGGTGAGATGCCATTGCTCCAGCAGAAAGTCCATTTCACTCCTGCCCAGGCAGCATTGTGTCAAGGGAGTGGCTAGTTCCACCCACCCAATTTGTTCCCAAGTAGGGAGTTTCTTGAATAAAAATGCAGCCAAGGAAGGCAGACCAAAGTAGACCCCTTTCTTTATTTCTGCAGCACAGCACCTCAGGTGAAAACCCAAAGGTACTCCCTGGAACAAGGAAACTATCTAGATTTTTATACACTACAAAGCCACTCCCGACTTAAGGAGGGGGTGGAGTTGTGGGCTCACACCCCCAACATCTGCGTGGGGCTGGCTTCAGCCCTGTGCAACCTGGGGAATCCTCAGGCTGCGTCAGCCAATCGGCCGGGGGGCGTGGCCCGGGTCACTTAAGGTTGGGGCGGGCCCGGGATCTCCCCTTTTTGTCCTCGCAGCAGCTTTCCCACCCACCCAACCTCTAGTTTTCCCCTCTGACCTTGCTATGGACCTCGGTTGGTCGCCATAAGGGGCCTGGTAGGAATTTTTCCACTTGGCAAATTGGCATTGAAGAAAAGCCATTTGGTTTTTTCGCCTACCTCGTAGCAAATCGTCACAACGTCCTTGGTTGGGCGGTTAGGCATTGGTAGGGGTATTATTATGCAAATGAGTTGGGGGGAGGAGTGCCATCACCTCCCCCAAATATTTAAGGGTAGTCCGGTAAAGGATTCCGGGGGGCGTTGCCTCGTCCGAAACCTATGGAGGCTAGGGCCTAAAGCACGCTCCCGAGCGGTGACCCCTCGGGGAGCGCCTAGGGATGTGCATCTCAGGGGCTCCCCCTGTTGGTGTTAACCCTTTCCAGTTCTATGCCGGATAGTCTGATAGGACCAATGCCTAAAGCCAATACCGCTCTTACCTGTAACCAATAAAGTTGTGGCCATTTTTCTCCCATTAACCTAAAATAACGGTGTCCTGCGTCTTCAGTTATTCCAACTGGTGGGAGGCAGGAATCGCCACACAACTAGCAAATAATTACCCAAAATGCACCAAATCCTGGCACATCTGCACCAGGGATGCCAGCTCCTAGGGGCCCAGTTATTTTGCACACAGCCCACCCCCGGTAGCTCAGGTTTAGCACCCTGCCTGAAATTATCTTGTGCTGCTGTGAATCAGTGCAAGCAATGCTGAGTTAAATGTCATAGAATCATAGAGTTGGAAGAGACCACAAGGGCCATCGAGTCCAACCCCCTGCCAAGCAGGAAACACCATCAGAGCACTCCTGACATATGGTTGTCAAGCCTCTGCTTAAAGACCTCCAAAGAAGGAGACTCCACCACACTCCTTGGCAGCAAATTCCACTGTCAAACAGCTCTTAATGTCAGGAAGTTCTTCCTAATGTTTAGGTGGAATCTTCTTTCTTGTAGTTTGGATCCATTGCTCCGTGTCCGCTTCTCTGGAGCAGCAGAAAACAACCTTTCTCCCTCCTCTATGTGACATCCTTTTATATATTTGAACATGGCTATCATATCACCCCTTAACCTCCTCTTCTCCAGGCTAAACATGCCCAGCTCCCTTAGCCGTTCCTCATAAGGCATCGTTTCCAGGCCTTTGACCATTTTGGTTGCCCTCCTCTGGACACGTTCCAGTTTGTCAGTGTCCTTCTTGAACTGTGGTGCCCAGAACTGGACACAGTAATCCAGGTGAGGTCTGTCCTAGTGGCCTATTGGCTTATTGGTTTAAGCCTATTGCTTGGTCAAGGCATCACCTTTCAGAAAGATTATGCTAATACTCGTGGAAAGAGAATTTCTAATGCTAAAAGGAGACACACAGACTAGTAACACCGAGTCTAAACAATGTGAACGGAAGGCAAGACTTGGCGCAAATCCCCTCAGAATGAAGTCCTTTGAGTCAATTTTTCATCTTAACCCTCCTCACTGGAGACATATCCTATAAATAAACATGTGTAAGTTATTGCCGGCATGCTCTGCTTTATTAATTTTGTGTAGAGCAAGTTGGCTTTTGCAGAGGTTAATTTTCTGAACGGGGAAGAAAATGGCACTTCACCAATCTGAAAATAAATAATTGTGCTGAGGTCTCAGTTCATTATATTTAATTCTGCCAAGTCTTGCAGGCTCTGGAGACATGGTGACAGCTCAGAGAAACAATTATTTTCACTAGCCAGCCCTGCTCTTTCTATGATGTGTTTTTGCAGTAGGCAGTTTGACTGCAGTTTGGTGTTGCTTAGTGAATACAGCACCATGTCCTTCTCGTCAAATTGCACACGATCAATTTTTGCAGCAAGAGAACCAAGCAAACTAGGCCTGTGTGACATGACATTCTTTGGTCGTACAGTGGTACCTCAGGTTACATATGCTTCAGGTTACATACGCTTCAGGTTACAGACTCCGCTAACCCACAAATAGTGCTTCAGGTTAAGAACTTTGCTTCAGGATGAGAACAGAAATCGTGCTCTGGCAGTGCGGCGGCAGCACGAGGCCCCATTAGCTAAAGTGGTGCTTCAGGTTAAGAACAGTTTCAGGTTAAGAACGGACCTCTGGAACGAATTAAGTACTTAACCCGAGGTACCACTTGTGCTTGCATTGCATCATGGTTTTTGTAAAGCTTCAGCAGCATCAACTCATAAACAGCACATATTTGACTACTACAAAAACTATGATGTTGTGCAACTGCATGTGAACCTTCATGAGTAAAAAAAATAATCTAGATTCTTGAAATTGAGCAAACTAGTTTAGGTATTCTGTGTCTGCAACATAGAAGATCCATTGGCTATCCATTAGTGGTCCCAGTGGTCTAGGAGCAGGGCAATGTGACAGTACTGTGCCCTAGGAAAGAGGAGAGGGTGTCTCACATATGAATCAGGCAAACTACATGAAATGGTAATTTATTTATTTATTTTAATCATTTTTATTGATTTTCCAATAAAAACAGCCAATCAACATGTCCACATCATAATCCAATTAAAAACAAAAAAGCAAAAATAAAAAAGACCAAATTGTAATCCAAATTGTAGTTATTAATTTTTCTGGGTTTCTCATAGTCTGGACCTCTGAAGCATATCTCCAAATCTTCAGTCCTGCCTCCTCTCGTTTTTTCATATTTTCCACATCCCGATCTTAAAGCTTTAAAGTTCTCCATCCCTGGCTCTGCGATTCTCAATCATGTCAGAAATCATATATCCTTTTGTCCATCGAATACAGCTTTATTTGTGTATGTATATTTTTTCAACTGTCTGTTTACCTATGCAGCTTTCCCTGACTCCATTCCAATCTTCCAATCTGGGCTGTTGTCCAAGTCTATCGTCTGAAGTTTAATGACGCAGCGACTCCTAAGTTGTTAAATCAGTCCAATCCGGGCTGTTGTCCAGAAAATGGTAATTTAGACGAACTTTCTCCAACCTGTTGTCCTCCAGATGTTGAATTTCAGCTCCTTTCAGACCAAGTACACACACACAGTAGTTGGGGATGATGGGAGTTGTAGTCCGAAATCAGAAGAAATCTGATTTCTTCTCACATCATAACTATTTTTAGTTCTGCTCCCAGTGGCTTTTCACGTACCAGACATGAGAGAGAGAATAGAAATTGTGGGGAAATTGTCTTTCACATTTTAATGTGAACCTTTGTAATCTGCACTTCCTTAAAAATTCATACTTCTCCAAATGTTGCGATGTAGTTCTCCAGCCAAAAAATGTGTAGCAAAAATATATTTGTTAGTGGAGAGTGTACATGAAATACACATGGGAGTGAAAACTTTTAATGCTTTTAATGTTTAATAGACTACTGTATTTTAATATTTTGTTGGAAGCCACTCAGAGTGGCTGGGGAAACCCAGCCAGATGGGCGGGGTATAAATAATAAATTATTATTATTATATTATTATTATTATAAAACAACATTATATTATTATAACAAATGCATTACATTAAGGGAAATTGCTTGCAAAAGCGAGTATATTAGGAAAACTGTGTACAAAGTGTTTATCAGGAGAAATGTGGTAGTAAATTGTCATAAGGACTTTAAAAAAATCACAAACTGATGTCAAAATATGGCAAGCTCAACTTAAAACTGGAAGAGTTAGAAACTTATATTGATCTAGGCATCCATTTCTGAGAGGGAGAAATGGAAGACACCAGAAAGCTCAAAGAACCAGACATTCCCATTGAACACACCAGGTATTTTCTGGTCCAGAAAACAGATCTGGCATGCTCAATATACAAACTGAAGCACTGACTGCAGCAGCTGGATCTGCTCAGATCATTATTATTCCAAGTAATAAGCAGCACATGCTAATATAATGCACCCATTTTGCTAAATTGAGTGGCATGGATTGTGGGGGGCGGGGCGGGGAGGCAATGTTATCTTACCAGTCTATTACATCAGTGCAATTCTTCTTGTTGTTTGTACTGCAGATGGCTTTTTACCTCCCATGCTGTGTTAAATCTGTTCCATCCTTGATATTTAATTTGTCTTTTTTACGCATTTCTCCCCAAATTACATCTCATGCAGATGATGTTCTCATTTTAGGTTCACAGCATCAAACTTCCCTGTTCTTATTGGTTAAGCTTTAATCCAATATGTGGGGCTTAGCTGTATGTTGTTAAGAATAAAACCATGCAAAAAAAAAGTTTCTTAGGTGGAAATTAAATATATGGTAAAGATCTTCCCCAGACTCTGTGTCTACAGAGATTTGGCTTATTAGAAGAATGCATTGGATGTTATAGCACTGAAGCAAAAAGGGAACCCAAAAGATTCAAACTCTGTGATGGCATTTAACACTGGCACTGCATAAATAAGATTTATACTCTCCCCCCCCCCAATTCATTATATCCCTTAATTTTGTTCCTAGAATGCATTTCTGAAACTTCTGGCCCTGGTATTTAATGCTATCCTGGAACCAGGTAGTATTCAAGAACATCCAGAGAAGCAAAATCCATTTCCACACCTCACCAAATGCAAGACATATATACTAGCTTTATTATCAGTATTCCTTGATGCAGCAGTGCATAGTTGAACTATGGAATTTCTTCCCACAGACAGTACTGAAAGCCACCAGCTTGGGTGTCTTTAAAAGAGGATTAGATAAATCAATGATGAGGCTATCAGTGACTCTGAGCCACCACCCTCCAACATTTCTCCGATAAAAATAGAGGCGTCCTATTCAACAACTACAACACAGGCAGCCCTGTATTAATGTTTAATGTTTTGTTATGTTTTTATATATGTTGGAAGCCTCCCAGAGTGGCTGGGGTAACCCAGTCAGATGGGTGGGGTATAAACATATCATCATCATTGAATAAGAACATTACACACACACACACACACACACAATTAGTTTCTTAACATATCATTTTCAACAATTATAAAACATGCTTTTATATCTTATACATTTTTTTTTACTTCCATCAATCACATCTGAAAATTTTCCAATCTTTTTTATTTAATTTACATTTCTTAATTTCACTTTTACATTTAAATTTCATAACTAATATCTCTCTTCTTTATTTTCTTTGCAATATTTCATATATTCCTCCTTACGAAACTTCTTGTGGTCCTACTAGCGTAATTTGTTGATTACAGTTGCTCTTCAAATAGTTTGTATATTTCTTCCAATCTTCTGTGAATCTCTGGTCCCGCAGGTTTCGAATCCTTCCTGTCATCTTATCCAATTCTGTGAATAAGAACATTACTAAAGGTAAAAAGTAAAAAGGTAACGGACCCCTGGACGGTTTAGTCCAGTCAAAGGCGACTATGGGGTTGTGGTGCTCATCTTGCTTTCAGGCTGAGGGAGCCGGCATTTGTCCACAGACAGCTTTCTGGGTCATGTCGCCAGCATGACGAAACCGCTTCTGGCACAACAGGACACTATGACAGAAGCCAGAGCACACAGAAACGCCATTTACCTTCCCGCCACATTAGTACCTATTTATCTACTTGCACTGGTCTGCTTTTGAACTGCTAGGTTGGCAGGAGCTGGGAAAGAGCAACGGGAGCTCCTTCCATCCAGGGGATTTGAACCACCGACCTTCCGATCAGCAAGCCCAAGAGACTCAGTGATTTAGACCACAGTGCCACCCACGTCCCCTTGAACATTACTATCATTCTGCTGGGAACGGATTCTATGACGCTTCTGCAGCTTTTACATTTGAAAGTTGTGTTTTGATTGTTGCATTTAAAGAAATGTTTTCGCATCCCCCCTTTTTTAATATGTTGGCTACTGTAAATGTTTTTACATTACAAATATTCAGAACAAAAATTTATATATAAACTTCTGTTCTTAATATTTCTATTCAGAATATCTCTCTCTCTCAACAAGGACAGATGTGCCCTTGTTTTACAGCTGGGGCAGGTAGGGGGGTTCCCTCCAGATGTTGTTGAATTACACTGGCCCTACTTGCTGGATCTAATGGGAGCCAGAGTCCTGCAACATCTGGAACCACTGCATTGGTTATCCCTGTAAAGGTAAAGGGACCCCTGACCATTAGGTCCAGTCGTGGCCGACTCGGGTTGCGGCACTCATCTCGCTTTATTGGCCGAGGGAGCCGGCGTACAGCTTCCAGGTCATGTGGCCAGCATGACTAAGCTGCTTCTGGTGAACCAGAGCAGTGCACGGAAACGTTGTTTACCTTCCTGCCGGAGTGGTACCTATTTATCTATTTGCACTGGCATGCTTTCGAACTTTTAGGTTGGCAGGAGCAGGGACCGAGCAACGGGAGCTCACCCCCTCACTTGTCTCTGAATATATTTGCAGTGCTCCAGGCTGACAGTAACTGAAGTGCAAATAAGAGATGATGCCAAGAGATTGAAATTTGACAGATGCCAATCATTATAAATCAGGGGGTCAGGAGGGGAATCAATTTAGAGTATATTGAGTAGGGAGAAAGGTGATGGTGCCTATGAACCATTTCATTGCCCAAGCATTTCCTTTTTTTATAAACAACCACCACCACCCTTTTCCATGGTGGATTTTCTTCTTGTCATGGAACCTTACTGGGAGGAGATATTAAGGTGGGGAGGGGAGGAAGAAAATGTTTGCAGAAACTGTTTAGGGTCCCCTTCTTCTTCACCATATCTAATGGTCTACAAAAGCACCCCTACATCATCATCATCACCACCACAAAAACCATCATCATTATTATTTGTATACCACCCTTCATCCCTAGATCTCAGAGCAGTTCACAGCACAAAAATAAAAAGACAAAATATGTAATAAAAATAAGAATAAACTAAACTAATAACCCCCTCCTCCATAGGGCTATGTCAGACTAAGTTCAGAGTAGACACATTGAGATGGATTCAGCTCATGAATCACACTAGCAGAAGCCAGAGCAAAGACTTTCATTAGCACAACAGGGCTTGGATGGAATGATCTCCTTAGTGCCACATTGAATTTATCACATTGAAATTAATAGATGTCTATTAATTTAAATAAAACTAATATTGGATTCAGCTCATAGCGATGCACCAGCAGACCTAGTTCTGACACACAGATCTGCTGGCAGCACATCTCGTTTGGCCCTGAGAGCATTTGATACATACCATGCAAGGGTGCTTAGTGTTTATAATTGCTGGCAGCTTGCAACGTCTCATCTCTGATGCCTGCCAAAATGGAAGCTATCAGTGAGTGCTGGCAAAAGCTGCAATCCTAGACACCCTTGTGTTGGAGTAAGTCCCATTCAACTCAATGGGATGTACTTCTGAGTAGTTATGAAGAGAATTGCGACGTAAAACATCCACGTTTTGGGTGGGTGTGTAAAAACCAAAGCTGAATACTTCACATTCAAAATCCACACGGAAAAGCTACAAATTTCAAACGCTTATGAATATTTGTTTCTGCTCTGAAATCCACACGCTTGCCCTTTTCTGTGCCCCTCCATTTATGAAGAAAAGTTTGCCTTAGAGCATCTCTTTTTTCAAGTGTGATTTGTCTTTATTTATTATAGATCCTTTGCCTTTGGCTCGTCATGGACTCATTTATATAGCTGTGTGCAGCCAATGGCCACTAGAGACTACTGCAGTTTGCAGTAAATGTGTCTTTAGTGTGACCATCACAATATACATTACATTACTCTCCTGAAGAAACATTAGCTGACTACCTGGCTTCCTGCTACCACTTCCACTGAATGTTAAAAACAAACCCACGGACTTAAGATGGCAGAAGGGTTATGTTTACAGGGTGTTTCATTAATATACTAGAGCTTTTTTGCTAGTTTTCCGCTTCGTGCCATAACTACGAAGACTTGAGCACGGCTGCCAAATATTATATAATTCTGCTCCTTGCAAAAGCACTCTCTTTTTCTACTCCGTGCTGAGGGAATAACCATTAACTCACACACCTGCCTCTGAAGATGTGACTAGGTGCATATAGCCCCAAAGTCTTAAATTTCAGCTGCTGTGTAAGCCAGTCTTCAAATAAAGCAAGGCAACACAGCAGTAGAATAATGAAACAATGACTGCCTTCTCACTGATCCAGGGTTGAGGGGTTGAGATACATGTGCAATGGGGTGTATGAACTCAAGACACCAACACACAGGGACATTTGAGTGGTGAGGAGACATTAACTCATTAGTGCTGGGATGGATTGGAGAGTCTTGTAGTCTCTTCAGCAATCTTTTGTAAGAAGGAAATGAGTGTGTAGTAGGGAGGTTTCTGAGTTGTAGTGCTATTGAATGTGAGTGGATTGGACATGAGTGATTGGTTGGTAGAGATATGGCCAACACTGAAGCCGAAATCCAGCATCGCCTGAGCTCTGCGAGTGCAGCTTTCTCCCGATTGAAGTGCAGAGTGTTTGAGGACCAGGACATTCACAGGGAAACCAAAAGGCTTGTTTACAAAGCTATTGTACTACCAACCTTACTGTATGCTTGTGAAACATGGACCATCTCCAACTCCTCGAAAGATTCCATCAACGGTGTCTCCAAATTTTTTACACATCACTTGGGAAGACAGGTGAACTAATGCCAGGGTACTGGAAGAAGCAAAGATCACCAGTGTCAAAGTGATGATTCTTTAACATCAACTTCATTGGACTGGGCATGTTGTAAGGATGCCTGATTATGGTCTTCCAAAGCAACTACTCTATTCCAAATTTAATTGGCCTCCGCAATCACTTACGGACTCACTGTTAAAACCGTGTTCATGGAAGACAATCTTACTCGGCTATGAGTGATCGCCAAAGAAGAGTAAGAATTAATAGTTAGACTAGAACTATTTAACAAATAAACATATGACACATCCCTCTTGACATGGTACCATTGCTGAATGGAAATATGTTGTTGCAAGTCTGATGCCTCACTTACAGAACAAAAGATCTCTGCTCAGAGTCAGAAAATTGTGGATTTGGAAGGAACTCCAAGGGTCATGCAATGCAGAAATAAACGAGAAAATGAGTTGCTAAGGAGTAATTCCTATATGAAGGAGAAGAAGGAGAAGGAGAAGGAGAAGGAGAAGGAGAAGGAGAAGGAGAAGGAGAAGGAGAAGGAGAAGGAGAAGGAGAAGGGCTAAAATTAGCTGAATTTTCAAGCAAGGGAAAGCAATGCAGTTGCATCCAAACCTGCAATATGTGTTCTCCATCCAAGGTATCCTCAGATCAGTTGCTGGAGCCTGAGCTGGGTGCGGTACAAAGCCAGCTTTCTTATATTTAAAACTCAACCAGAGAGACTTTACACCACCTGCTATCAGGGGTGCTGTCAGGGCAAAAGGGACGCGGGTGGCGCTGTGGTCTAAACCACTGAGCCTCTCAGGCTTGCTGATCAGAAGGTCGGCGGTTCAAATCCCCATGACGGGGTGAGCCCCCGTTGCTCTGTCCCAGCTCCTGCCAACCTATCAGTTCGAAAGCACATCAGTGCAAGTTAATAAATAGGTACCGCTGCAGCAGAAAGGTAAACAGCATGTCCATGTGTTTTTGCTTCTGTCACGGTGTTCCGTTGCACAAGAAGTGGTTTAGTCATGCTGGCCACATGACTGGAAAGCTGTCTGCGGACAAACTCTGGCTCCCTTGGCCTAAAAGCAAGATGAGCGCTGCAACCCCATAGTTGCCTTTGACTGGACTTAACCATCCAGGGGTCCTTTACCTTTTTACCTTTTGTCTGGGCAGGACTCTGGGGCTCTGGGGTAGATAATAGCAAAAGGGGGAGGATATAGGGATGTGTATAGATGCTAGAACAGAATATATTTGTTAAATATTATCCTTCCTCCCTCACATGAGTTCAGCAGAGTGCATCCTTTTGCAGTTGAAAAGGAAGCTTAGATAGGCTAGATTTGGGCATTTAGTTTAAATAATCCAGGATGCTTTAGGGCAGACTGGATTCTCCTGGTATCTCCCCCTTTTCTCCCCCTGAAAACAATTATCACACAAACAGTCTTGTAAAAGGTAAAAATAACATTTACTCACTCAGAGCTTCTGTTGCAGAATATCAGATACAGCAGCTTTGTTCAGGAGGGTTCAAAATGATAATGCAATTACATTTGTTGTTGTTGTTGTTGTTTAGTCGTTTAGCTGTGTCCGACTCTTTGTGACCCCATGGACCAGAGCACGCCAGGCACTCCTGTCTCCCACTGCCTCCCGCAGTTTGGTCAAACTCATGTTGATAGCTTCAAGAACACTGTCCAACCATCTCGTCCTCTGCCGTCCCCTTCTCCTTGTGCCCTCCATCTTTCCCAACATCAGGGTCTTTCCCAGGGAGTCTTCTCTTCTCATGAGGTGGCCAAAGTATTGGAGCCTCAGCTTCACGATCTGTCCTTCCAGTGAGCATTCAGGGCTGATTTCCTTAAGAATGGAGAGGTTTGGTCTTCTTGCTGTCCATGGGACTCTCAAGAGTCTCCTCCAGCACCAGAATTCAAAAGCATCAATTCTTTGGCGATCAGCCTTCTTTATGGTCCAGCTCTCACTTCCATACATCACTACTGGGAAAACCATAGTTTTAACTATACAGACCTTTGCAGTTACATAGTCACGCTTAAGTCCAGCTTCAAATGATGTCTGAGCAATGGAGCTCAGGAATGCAGATTGCTCTCACATTTCTGCATGCTGACATCCGGTTCAGCGAACGGTCTTTGTTTCGTGATGAAGGTGTTCACCTTTTGGATCTTGGCAATGATATTTGGCTGGCCGACATCATCAGAAGCCTTAAGGATTGGTTGCAGCTGTGAGGGTATTGGCAGCGAGCCTCTTTGGGCTCGGGTGGCGGTTAGGCATTGGAATATGTTTGTGTATTGGAGGGCAGGGTGTGGCCATCGCCTACCCCTCCACTTTATGGGTATTCCGGTAAAGGAATCCGGCGGTCATGGATCCTGTCCGACGCCCTTGCTGGTGGCTAGGGCCATGGCATGACCCCTGGTGACATCTGGGGAAGCTTTCAGTTGTATTTGCATCAACAGGCTCCTGCCACTGGTGGTTAACCCTTGATAGACTCACCCCTCCCTGAGGGGGTGGAGACACACACTGTTGTTTTATCCAATGCCTAAGCCAATACCTCTCACATGATGTACCGTAATCAATAAAGTTGTGGCCTTTTGTTAGCCCATTAACCTAATATACTGTGTCCATGTGTCTTTCTTATCCTCAAGCGGGTGGCGGGTCCTTGAATCACAAGAGTGAAGAGAGGCAAGAGAACAAACAGGAAGGAGAAACTGCCCAGCCAGGTGAGGAGATTATATGGAGGCAGAACATTGTGGATTGCACTGTAAGCATCAGACCTGCTATCCTTGACTGCCTCCCTTCTAGTTAACAGTGGTCTCCATTTTCTAATTATTTAGAGATCATTGGGAGATAGTTCTGTAGTTAGCAGCATTTATCTCCCCAAACAGCATTCAGTCCCTTTAATCTCCATTTTGTTGACTCAACTTTACAAGTCACTGTTAGACTGTAATATGTACTTCTGAAGCCATTTTGGTAAGTACATTGCAAATATGTGCTTACGAGGTTGTAGTCAATGAATTACATTGCTGCAAAGAGAGATTGCAAGGACTTCTGAAGAAACCAAAGAGATGGAGGGATGAAAATACACTTGGGGAAGCTGGTGTCCTCATTAAATTTTGCTTTCCATGGCTGGAGATTAGGGTTCACTGTAGATGTGAAGTCTTGGGTAGTCAATACACTCACAATTGCATACATTCCCTGAAAGGCTGGCATAATCACTTGAGCACACAAAGGCACACTGTGATGGGTCATCAGGGCCTGCTAGAGCTTTTCTGGTGCCTAGCCCTTTAAGAAGGCAAGGATCTGCACCACCAGGCAATGGTTCCCAAGGAGACTACATTTGAACACAGCCTGGAAGCTCTGCCTATGGAAGAAGAAGGAGCTGCAGTACGATGCACTCCTACTTATCGCCTTGATGGATGGAAGGAAAAGAACCCAGCTGCTATGTCCCAGGCATAATAAAGGGTGGAGAGACAGGGGAGATAGAAAAAAATGTTGCAAAGAGATAAGAAGGAAGAGAAGCCCAGTACGTTTAGACCTATAAAGCCTTAAACGGCTAAGGACTGCAATACCTCAAGGACCGCCTCTTTCCATATGAACCTACCCGGACCCTGAGATCATCTTCTGAGGCCCTCCTTCATGTGCCTCCTTGGCTCAGGGGTCATATAACTCCATACCCTCCAACAGTTCTCTGAAGAAAAATAGGGATGTCCTAAGGACATTCCAGGATAAATCAGAAACTAGGATGGCTTCTGTAAACCCAGGACTGTCCCTTGAAAATAGGGACACTTGGAGGATCTGCTTGCTGAGATCCTTTAATTGCTACTGAGCTTTGGCCAACTTTGCTTAACATATACTGGTTCAGCTCCTGAAAGTGATGTTTGTGACTTGTTCCTCTCTCCCTGGCAAAATAGGAACTGCAGCAAGGAGGAAGTAGAACCTTTGGGCGCCATCTTCCTGCGAGGGCGATTTATCGAGAGATCCAGAGGGTGGCAACATGAGAACGGGCCTTCTCTGCAGTGGCTCCCCATCTGTGGAATGCTCTCCCCTGGGAAGTTCGCCTGGTGCCTTCATTATACACCTTTAGGCACCAGGCAAAAATGTTCCATTTTAACCAGGCCTTTAGGTGATCTGTTTGACATCCTGTACCCTTTTAAAATGTTGTTTTTATGCTGATGATATGTGTTGTGATCTTTTCTGTGAACCGCCCTGAGACCTCTGGGTAGAGGGCGGTATATAAACTCAATTAATAATAATAATAATAATAATAATAATAATAATAATAATAATAAATAATGTGGGGATCAGGTTGAAATAGCCTAGGTACCCAAGGAACCATCTTCTCCACCAGGGACCATCTTCAGACTCTCTCCCTAAGCCCCTCTGGGTAGGGCTAGAGAGGGAATACTACACCTTAGGTTTACCCAGCTTTTATCCCACACATTTTTATAGAGCCATTTCATCTAACACAATGCATTTTAATGTTATATTTGCCAATACTTGTAATTATATGGGGGCCATGTGTCGACTGGATAACCCTCGGGATCCCTTCCAACTACAACTCTGATTCTATGATACTCTAGTATATGCATTTTGTACATAGCCACTCCAGACATAAGGAGGGGGAGGTTGGCTCATGTGGCGGTTAGGCATTGGTAGGGGTATTATTTTGCAAATGAGTTGGGGGGAGGAGCTCCATCACCTCCCCCAAATATTTATTTATTTTTTTCTGATTAATATTTATTAAAGTTTCAAAAAGAATAAAATCACATTAATAAACAAGAAATTTTTTAACAAAAACAGAGAAAAATACACCATACAAAATACAAAATAGAAAAAAAAGAAGGGAGAAAAAAAAGAGAAAACAGTTAAAAATAGTTCCGTCTTTTCATAACCTCTTTTACATTCACTTGTTTCCCGGACTTCCTCATACCTCCCTCTTTTGTATTCCAATTCAGTTTGTAAGCTCAGCAATTTCTTTCCCTCCTTTTTAATTCCAATCCTAAGTCTTAATATATTATGACATTAGATTTTTACCTATTTAAAACCAATTTTTCCATTTCTCTTAACCTTTTTGATCCTAATCCTTAATCTTGATATATTTATAGCTTTAAAACTTGTACAGCTAGAAGCCACTTAACTTCAATCCAACATCACTCTAACATTCATTAATTTTGCAATGTTTCTGTAAATAATCTTTAAATTTCTTCCAATCTTCTTCCACCGACTCTTCTCCCTGGTCTCGGATTCTGCCAGTCATTTCCGCCAATTCCATGTAGTCCATCACCTTCATCTGCCATTCTTCCAGAGTGGGTAGATCTTGTGTCTTCCAATACTTTGCGATGAGTATTCTTGCTGCTGTTGTAGCATACCTAAAGAAAGTTCTGTCCTTTTTTAACACCGATTGGCCGACTATGCGCAGGAGAAAGGCCTCTGGTTTCTTCAAGAAGGTATATTTAAATACCTTTTTTAATTCATTATATATCATCTCCCAGAAAGCCTTAATCTTTGGGCACGTCCACCAAAGGTGGAAAAATGTACCTTCAGTTTCTTTACATTTCCAACATTTATTATCGGGCAAATGATAGATTTTTGCAAGCTTGACTGGGGTTATGTACCACCTGTATATCATTTTCATAATATTCTCTCTTAGGGCATTACATGCCGTAAACTTCATACCTGTGGTCCATAACTGTTCCCAGTCAGCAAACATAATATTATGTCCAACATCTTGTGCCCATTTAATCATAGCAGATTTCACCGTTTCATCCTGAGTATTCCATTTCAGCAGCAAGTTATACATTCTTGACAAATTCTTAGTTTTGGGTTCTAGCAGTTCTGTTTCTAATTTTGATTTTTCCACCTGGAAGCCAATTTTCTTGTCCAAATTATATGCCTCCATTATCTGATAATAATGAAGCCAGTCTCGCACTTTATTTTTTAGTTTTTCAAAACTCTGCAGTTTCAATCTATCTCCATCTTGTTCTAAAATTTCCCAATATTTCGGCCATTTGACCTCCATATTGAGCTTTTTCAAGGCTTTCGCTTCCATCGGTGATAGCCACCTTGGGGTTTTATTTTCCAATAAGTCCTTATATCTTATCCAAACATTAAACAAAGCTTTCCTGACAATATGATTTTTAAATGCTTTATGTGCTTTGACCTTATCATACCACAGATATGCATGCCATCCAAATACATTGTTAAAACCTTCTAGATCCAAAATGTCAATGTTTTCAAGAAGCAGCCATTCTTTCAACCAGCAAAAAGCTGCTGATTCATAATAAAGTTTAAGGTCTGGCAGGGCAAATCCACCTCTTTCCTTTGCATCTGTTAGTATTTTAAATTTTATTCTGGGCTTCTTGCCCTGCCAGACAAATCTAGAAATATCTCTCTGCCACCTCTTGAAACAGTCCATTTTGTCCACAATTTGCAGTGTTTGAAACAAAAACAACATTCTAGGCAATACATTCATTTTTACCACAGCAATACGGCCCAGCAGTGAAAGCTTCAAATTTGACCAAATTTCTAAGTCTTTTTTCACTTCAGCCCAACATTTTTCATAGTTATCTTTAAATAAATTCCCATTTTTTGCTGTCATGTTAATCCCCAGATATTTAAATTTCTTAACCACTGTTAAACCTGTCACATTCTGAAACCTCTCTCTCTCCATTGGTGTTAGATTTTTCTCTAAAACCTTGGTTTTTAACTTGTTCAATTTAAATCCTGCAACCTGACCAAATTCTTGAATCAGTTCTAAAACCCTTTTCGTACTAGATTCTGGCTCCTGTAACGTCAAAACTAAATCATCTGCAAATGCTCTCAATTTGTACTGTTTAGCTCCGACCTGTATACCTTTAACCAACTGGTCCCTTCTAATCATGTTCAGTAAAACCTCCAGGACCGAAATAAAAAGTAATGGGGAAATTGGGCATCCTTGTCGTGTCCCTTTTTCTATCTTAAGTTCTTCCATCACCACATTATTTACAATTAATTTAGCCTTTTGTTCTGAATAAATTGCACTTATACCGTTTTCAAAGCCTTGGCCTACCCCCATACCCTGTAGCTTCTTCATAAAACTCCAAGAAATGTTTGACCTCCTCCAAATATTTAAGGGTAGTCTGATAAAGGATCCCGGGGGGCGTTGCCTCGTCCGAAACCTATGGAGGCTAGGGCCTAAAGCGCGCTCCCAAGCGGTAACCCCTCGGGGAGCGCCTAGGGATGTGCATCTCAGGGGCTCCCCCTGTTGGTGTTAACCCTTTCCGGTTCTATGCCGGATAGTCTGATAGGACCAATGCCTAAAGCCAATACCGCTCTTACCTGTAACCAATAAAGTTGTGGCCATTTTTTGCCCATTAACCTAATATTCTGGTGTCCTGTGTCGTTATTTATTCCAACTGGGGGTGGGGGTGGGAATCGCCACGCAAATTACTTGGCTGGAGAACTGCATTGCATCGTTCAGGCATGTGGATTTTGAAGGATGACTGTCAGGGGTTCAGGAGCAGAGGCACAGGAAAGGGAGGAAATAGAGAGCGAGGGGGAGGAGTCCGAAGGAAATGTTAGCGATGACAGCGGTCCGAGGTCTCTGAGTCTTTCCAGCGAATCGGAAGATTCACAGAAAGGGGCTCCCTTGGTCAGAGCAAGGGGGTGCCGAGGGGACACCCCAGGAAGAAGGGGCCAGAGGGGACTCAGAGAGCAGCAGTTGGAAATCAGGACCAGCGTCCACACCAGAGTGCAGTAGGGGGGAGGAGTCCCAGGCATCGGGATCAGGCGGCGCACTGCCAGTGGGAGGACATGAGTCAGGATTGACCACGCCTCCATCGGGGAGCGAGGAAACGGTCGAGAGGAAGGTTGAAGGCTGGGCGCGCTATCCACGTTCACATGTACAGGAGGGCGGCGCAGTTGGCAGCCCGGATAGGGAGCCAGGTCCCAAAGCCCGCCGAAAAGAGGGGGAGGAGTCAGGGGGTTCATCGTCAGAAGAAACCCGTAAGTAAGGGACCCCGGGGTGTAGCAGGACCCAGAGGAGAAAGGAGAGACGTAAGAGGTGGAGTAAGGCTAGAATCTTAAACTGGTGTACAGGGGGCGGAGACTCAGATGGAGCTTCGCCGATCTAACCCCTAGACGTAGAGCTGGGGCGCTCCGGCTTGAAAATGGAAACTGTACTTCAATAAAGACTTTTGTACATTACTGCCGGCTAGCGTTGGTCCTCTGTGAGCTGGGACCTGGAGCCAGCTCTGACAATGACTGTTTTGGTTTGCATGGTGGAAACAAGGTAGGTTCACCTTTAAATGTATTGAATTTCTCTCCAATCCCTTGTCTGGTTCCAGCCTTTCTGTATTACGCTGAAAGTGTGCCTCTAGTTTTAATCCAGAAATAAAAGTTATCCAGGTATCAAAAGTTTGGAAAACTCTGCTCTAGAGCCAAATTCTGGTTATACAATTGATGACACCCACTTTGTTGAGTTCTGAGGTTTTTCTTTTTTCTTTTTTAAAGGAGTAAAGCTCATAGCATATATGAGGAAGTTGAAAAAGACAAGTCAAGATGGAGAGAAGGAGAGAAGAAGAAGAAGAAGAAGAAGAAGAAGAAGAAGAAGAAGAACTTAATTGAAAAGAAATTCTAGAAATGAGGCTTATTCTGGAGCATTAACAAGAAATTGTAGAAAGAAAAGCAGCACTAATTTTTGTACAGGTCATCCATTATTAAAAGAAACACGAGGCCAAGCTTGTGATCTTCTCTTTGAAGCTTTTAAATGTGTGCCACGAGTGATCACAAAGAACATCAGCTAGCAAGTCAACACAAACATAAGGACACATGGTAATTTCTGGTCCATTTGATGCTGGGAATTGACAGTCTCCTCATGGACTGTGAAAACCTGGGAATTGAAAGCCCTCCAAGTCCCGTTCCTGAGCAAAATGCACTCTCCTCTTTGAAGGGTAGCCTTAATTGAATGGCATGACAACAATTTTTCAAATTGTAACAATCCGGACAAGAGACTTCCTGTTACTGTGGCAGAGTAGATACTTCCCTCCCATAATACTGTAGTATGTGTAGAATTGTCACTTGGAGATATGACATTGATATTTTTTTTAAAGAGTTGTTTCTACCAAGTCCATTTTAGCTGAAGTGCACTGAGGGCTCCGGCCAAACATTCATTTATGCAACTTCTCTCTTTTGTTATGGTTAGTTCATTAAAGCCGAGAGTCTAAACTCACTTGGTTTGAACTAAGTAATAAGTTGTATTGCTTCTCAGTAGATGTCCTTAGGACTGGTGTATAAAAAAGATTGATTGTGAAAGCACATATCCAGCTCAGAACACACACACACACACACACACACACACACACACACACACAATGGCATAGTGTTGGGGGGAGCACAGGGGCAGTTGCCCTGGGTGCAAAATTGTTAGGAGCGCCAAATTTCAACACCCGGTACTGCCTCAATACAGTTGCATGCTTCCATTGCTGGGCTCCATTGAAAACAGCTTCTCCATGCGCGCCAGGAAGTGAAATCTCCAGAAAATAAACGGAACTACTTCTTCTTCTTCTTCTTCTTCTTCTTCTTCTTCTTCTTCTTCTTCTTCTTCTTCTCCTCCTCCTCCTCCTCCTCCTCCTCCTCCTTCTCGTTCTCCTTCTCCTTCTTTCTGGATGCATTCTGACAGGGTTGCTAATGTATTCTGGTTAACATGCATATTGTTATTGTTATTATTATTGTTATTATATTTATACCCCACCCATCTAGCTGGATTTCTCCAGATGTAGGAATGAAGTCAAATTGATCAATAGTTTGTGGAAAGGTGCCTTTCCTTCTTATATGATAAGCTTCACGACAAAGAGAATCTTTTTTGTGACTGCAGCCAAAGGGTGCTATTCCATAAAGCCCCCTGTGTTCCAGAACAGTTTTTTTTGTGGGGGCACAGAGGGGGATTGGGGAGTTGAGACCCAGGAACATGCCACTCTGTAAGAAGACGTTCAAATCCAAACCTCTCTGCTATTTTGTGAATTAACTTTATTAAATGTGTCTATTAAAAAGGGGGAAACTCAATGTAACCCATCGACGTATTTAAGGATGAAAAAGAAGAATGAAGCAATGTGGTGCTGGTGGACTTCTTGCAAGTTCCACAGAGTTTGCAAACATGGCTTTGCTTATATCTGCCAACTTGTCCTGTCTTGGTTTTGTTAGGCAGCACTGAAGTACTCAGTTCTTGCAGGGGCAGCTTTGCCCTGACAGCTCAGTTTTCGCAAGCCCTATCTTCTAAATTACCAGTTCACAGCATTGCTTCGGTGAGAAAATAAACACTTATGTGACACTGAGATCAAAAGCAGTCATGGGCATCTCAAAGGACAAAGCAGTCAGAGATACAGTTTTGTTAAGAGAACAGACAAGTATGTAAAATGATTCCTTCAATTAAACAATAAACAGAATCTGGGTTTGCACTAGGAAATACTGCATCTCAAACACAGCACTCTTGCTGGATAATAATTTATAGGCTTGTATGGCAATTCTCCTAGCCTGTAGTTCTCCCTGTGCTTTCCGTAAGTCTCAGATATCCTATAATCATTCAGCTAGCTAATGATCCCTTTACATCAGGTATAATGAGTTTTCCCACT